TAATATATATAACTTCATTATTTCTCCTGTAGAGGCATTGTGCAAAAATGTGTGTTGAATATTAAAATGATAGTTAATATTATTTTTTTATGAGTGTCGTTTTTATAAATTTCTTAAGTTTTATGCTTATAAATTTTTAATATCTCTAAAAACTTTATAACTTGATATATTTTTAATTATGTTGAATCCACAAAAACAGAAGTTATTAAAAGTAATGTTCTTTTGTTGTGATCAACCTTTATCTTACCATTTACTTTATCAGACTGCTTATTAATAATACGAAATATAAAAATTCTGTGAATTATATATTTAAGTTGACATATTATTTTAATTTTATTTAGGCATATTTTGAAGGAGAATCTCTAGGACTACCATCAGAGACATTTTATAAAAATTTGGATAGTGTGTATTTTTTATATAAACCTATCGATTCATTGAAAATAACCAGTAGAGAGTACAACGTGTATCGTGATTTGTGTGAACTATTCAATAAGGACAATAAAACTAATTTCTTTAGAAGACTTTGTCTTACACTCTTAATATACCTAAGAAATTCAAAAAGAGTATCAGATAGCGTAGAAAATGAATTCGATGATTGCTCTCTTTTGCGTCATTGGATATACGAAAAATTAGCTCTTATATATAAGAACAAAAATGATGCCATTATTAAGATGCTTGGTAATCTTCAACTATTATGGAGTACTATGGTTGAAAGAAAACATTATGAATTATTCTACGATAAATGTAGACCTAATTTTAATTCAATCATCCATCATGAATGGAAAAAAAGGAAGCAGTTACATGATTTTTGTGTAGATTATAATGTTCTTCTTAAAATTGCTAGGGCATTTAAAGAAAAACACAATAGCGTTTAAAAATATATTCAAAAAATAGTTCCATTACATAATGAAATTAAAATATGTTATCCTGATGACGATGTAAATTGTCCAGAATTTATTAAAAAATGTATGAATAATGATCCAAAAAAAATGATAAAAGAAATTGAATGTCTTATAGGAAAGCAGAAAGATAAGCTAGGGTATGATACTTTAATATGTAATTCTGAATACCACTCTCCCCAAGGCACAGAATTGCAAAATAAATTAGATACTGGCCGCGATGTAACACTAAGAACTGTACATGCAGGTGATTTTTCAGAATTAGCTCATGGTCATTTAGATGAAGATTCTGCCTCATTAATTCATGAAGAAGACCAATTTTTTTCTTCATTTGCTGACAGCTATGCATCTAAAATTTTAAAAACTTCTGGTAAAATGTTTCTTGGCTTGGTTTTATTTACTTTATTTTCTACCATTTTGTGTAAAGTAAATATATATTATATTTATAAAAATTAAAAGTGCATTTATTTTAATAGTCTCCCTTCTTAAAATTGTAAAAATTAATAAATAAATTAATAAATAAACGTGTTATTTATTTATCTTTTTTATATACAAGTTTACACCCATAGGAATCCGCTTGCGTGAAGTATTTCTACAAAAAAAAAAAATTATAAAAAAAAAAAAAAGAGATCGAGATGTGCTTTTTGATTATGCATTTGGATCATATAGCCCAAAATATGCAGATGAAGAAGAAAATTATGTGGGATACCTTCCTGAGTAATATTTTTTTATACAGAATATATTCTAATTACATATACATTGAAAGAATGTATATTCAAAAGGTTATGTTAATAAATGTGAAAAATAAGTTCTATAAAAAATAATATGTATTAGTCAGGATAATACGAAAATATTTATAAAAAAAAATAATAAACAGAAAATTAAGTAAAATAATTTATAATTACCTCACATAAATAAATTATATATTGAATAAAATATTTCAAAAATATACAAAAATTATATGTATTCCTATTATAATTTCTATTATGAATTATTATCCACCAAAAATGAAAGATAATTTTCCAGACACATTTATAATGTTTATAAGTTAATGAAATCGAATAATTTTGTATAGTTATATATTCCACAATAATTAATAATAACAATAATGTATAAATCATAAAAATTCATTATGCATATTTTTTAGTGTTAATTTAAGATATTTATGTTTCGACTAATTTGAACTTGTTGTTCTATATATGAACAAAACGGTAAATTGTGTTCCTTTTTTTTTCAAGTAACACAATTAATTTTTTTGTTATTTAATATAAATTATATTGCTTATATAGCTATAAAATTCATTATGTTCTTTCTATAGCTATTTTAGGCGTTAAGATAATAGTAAAAAATAGGGTTCCTACAGTTTAGCAGGAAATCATCATCTATAATTTTTATTATAACAATTAATATACATAATTTTATTTTATAGTTCTTATGGTGATATTATTTTTATAGGAACACTAATTAATCCCCTATAAAATATATGTAATTATTATCTTATATTATTTGTAAACATTGTATAATAAGCTCATTTGTTACATACTAATACTTTAACATTAAAATTTTTATATTAATCATTTAATTATGATGTTTACTCACGCTATATAAAAATTATATAAAATATATTTATTCATGTGATGTGTTAATTTTTGTATATTATTACTTCTTTCCTTTTAAGTGTCAGTTTTATATAAAAATCATTTTTTTATTAGTTTTTAATGATGGAATTTCTTAATATTATTCTGATTTATAAGATGTTTTTAAAAATATCATATAACACTGTTTTCTTTTTCATATGTACATTTGATTTTTAATAAAAGTCTTAGTGTGATTCTCTATTTATCAAAAATTATGTCTATATCGTTATGGAAAACACATTTCCACACTTTCATTACATATTATAATTAATTATTTTCCATCCTATAAGAAGACATATTATTAATTATTTAAAAAAAAATAAAATACTTAAATTCATTAAATATTCTTGTATTTAATACGTGAAAGAATATGTGAATATTTATGTATTCCCAAAAAATCAGAATATTTGCACCTTTTTTATAGTAATTAAAAGTTAAAATAGCATATCAAAGAAAATTAGAAATAGTAGCTATACAAAATATATTAATATGTCAATTTATAAAGCCATATGTATAAAATTCTTCAAACACACACTTTTATTGTAATTACAAATATACATGATATATAAAATATTTATTGTTATAAGTTTAATTAAATATAAAATTATAATAAACAAATGCTATGTATTATTAAAAGTATAAATATAATATACTTTTAGATATAACAAATAATATGTAATATTATTAATAAGCATTATTACATTTAGAATATATACTTAATTTTAATATGTCAATATTATATATTGTACATATTTGTATAGAAAAAATACATGGAAATTAAATATCTTAATTATATTCTATAAAAGTATGGCATTGCTCTTGTACACTATTTAGCACTCTCATGTGTACACATATATAAAAAATATAATTCTCAAACTCATATAGTTCCTGCAGAATTGCATAATTATATAAAAAAAAAAAATCATCCTACGTATAAAGCACATATCAGATTCATATAACTAAGGTAATATTACCTATGATAAATGAGGGGTTTAAAAAATATTTGTATACAAATCTTTTAAGTAAATATTAATGAACGTTATAATATTAAAATATTTATATATAACTAATAGTTTATTTACTTCTAAATAATAACAAAAAGAAAATATGATTCCTTTGTATCATAAAATTAAAATTATTTCAACTATGATGCAAATATAAAAGGTTATATATTTTAATTAAAAACATATTACTATATTACAAATATAAAAATTGTAGACAAATAATGTATAAAAAACATTCCTAACTTTTAAATTAAAAATATATCCTTTTTTTAATAAGATTATCATATCTAATAAAATAAGTGAATATGATACAATATACCTATTCAACATTTTAGTATGTATGTTAAATATAAACGAGTATACGTATAAGCGATTATAATAATAAAATGTATTACAAGAATTTCTCAGTTTAATTGATATACAATTTATACAATTCTAACATGCTGTATATCAAATATGAACATAAATAAGCTATAGTCTAACAAATAATTTTAATATAATTATACCATTTTTATATGTAACAATAATGAAAATACCAATTACTACAATATAAAAATTAAAATTTTCGTTTGCTCAATCCAAGACTAAAATCACTGAGAGTAGGAAGCGAAACTAGAAATATAGACGCACGGGGTCTTTCTATTTAGTGTACTATTCATTTAGTGTTATTTTTTTATCCTTATAATATGACTTTATATAAATTTTGAAATTTATAATCTCAAGTAAATTAACATTTTTTAATTAGACTTTCATTATCAAGTGTATATTAAAATATTTTACAAGTTGTATTCTTTATGCTTTTACATATTTCTCCCATATAAATATATATTTAAAAATAATAATCAAACTCACAAAAACACATTGGAAAATTAAAATATTATTAATTATAATTTTGTTTTCCGGGTGTACCACGATATATTTTGTAAAAACTAATATTATACTATTATTAATCCAGCAAGTATACATTATTCAAATAAGATTATATTCTTACAAATAGTAAATTTATTAAAAATATAGTTTTTTATTACGACGATATAAGAAAGGTAGATAATGAAAAACAATATATACATGCTAATAAGAATTATAAGTATCAGATCCAACATATATTTGCTAACCGAAAAAATTAATGTAGTGTTATAAGGTAAAATATTATGTTAACGCTATATGAACAAATAATTTTATTTTACAATGCTCTTTTTAAACATTAAAACAATTTTCCTACTCTTATCATTGATGCTGTAATTAAATATAACAGAATTTGAAAAAAAATACATATTGTAAATTTTTCTTTTCAATATATCTTTTTCTTGGTCTTTTAGTTTTATATAAAACACAACTTCATTAATTCTTAGAATTTTATTTTGTCTTGCTTTTCTAGATTTAATTGTTTTTTTAATTCTCCTTTTTTAATTAAGGGGGAGGGATATATTTATTCTTATTTCACTGTATTTTTATATTGCTTATTCATTGTCCTCTGAACATGCATGGTCCTTTAACCACGCATCGACCTCTGAACACGTACCGTCCTCTAAAACCGATTTATATTTTTTCGCTTGACTAATCAAATATTTAGACCATTTACTTTTAAACATTTTTATTTTTGTTAACCAATAACTTTCGTGTAAAAGGCGAAATATATCGACGCTTAAGCTAAATATTACTGATGATTTGGTGAATGCATACAAATCTTTTTGAGAGTATTCTTCAATCTCTAATAGATTAATCAAAAGTTCTGTTTCGCATATTTTCCAATGTATCATTTGTTCTTTCTTTGGCATTCCATATTCTGTGGCAATTTTTTTATACATTATCCATAATTCATTCATCATATCTAAATATAAGCTTTTCAAATATTCATTAAACACATGCAATGCGTAGTGTATTTTTTTCTTTTTTACGACGAAAATTCCACAAGAGTTAATTAATTTTATGGCATCATTTCTTGTTATACCTTTGTGATCCCTTGATTTGGCAGGTCTATCAGATCCTAAACTACATTTATTATAGGAAAAATCTCTGTTTCCGTCATCATTATATAAAAAATTTTCTGTTAAAGAGCTAAGTAATGAAAAGTCAGATAAGTTTCTCACACATCGATGTGACGATAATTTTGTCAAAGATTTTGAAAGTAAATTATTAATAAAAACCTATGAACATTTGGAAGAATTCGTAATTATAATATTAATGTATTTACATATATATATCAACTCATGCACATAATACATTTCCTGAAGAAAAGAAAATCAAATTAAAAGAAACAAGGATATTTAATAAATTTTAATTTTTAACAGAAAATCTTACAATTAATAGAAAACTAAGCAGAACAACTAATGTTACGTTAATGTTATTCCAAAAATACATTTTTTTCAAATTATCTGTTTTAGATAATATATTTTTCTAATGGATTATTATTTTTAATGGTTTACAATTCAAGAATTATATTTTTTTAAATTTAACATTCAGGTTCAGGACACTACATTTAGGCATCATAAAAAAATTTTAATGCATTGGATTTGCATAATTGTGCTATTCTTTGTGATATGTTTTTACTTTTCAATAAAATGAATTACTTTAACTTTTTTATATAACATGTATATGCATTTTAATCTACATATTAATGATTTAATTTTATAATGTATTTATTATTATATAGTATAACTTAATATTATGTTATCTATATGTATCATTATATAGTTTTTTTTACTAGTAAACATTAATATATATAATGAATAATTTATTCTATTATACCAGTGTCTTATAGTACTATTTATTTAATATCTTTAGAGTTTATACGTTTATGCAACATTTAAACTATGAATTAAGAATCATGTGTGTAATACGTAGGAACTTTCTATAGTTGTAATATTTTATTACAAATGATAAAATAATATGTGAGCTTAAGATGATTAACCAGTAATAGTCACAAAATCTTGATTTTATAATGTAGTTTATTTTTTTTTTTTATGCTTCTTATAGTTTATTATTTAACGTTAAGTTGATTTTTATAACAATTTTTACATTTAAGTATATTTTATTTTTGTCCATTGTATCAACTAAACTTATAGTTCCAAAATGCGAAATAATATTTTATTTATGTGATGTTAACTCGTGGAAGATACTTTGCATTTGTGTATATAAAAACTAATATTGATGTGAAATTTTTCATTGCCCTTTTCGCACGTTATGTAAAAAATAATATTGGAATTCTTCTAACTTCTTATTCTGTTTTATTTATATATTAAAATCCTAAAAAGGGGTAACCTATGTATATATATAATAAAATTTTCATTTGAAAAAATATGTGGCATAATGCAAAATTTGCTTAAACTTCATAAAAAAATCAATTCGGGAAGAATTTTTCATTTATTATATGTGTTTATACGTGTAATAAATAATTACTTAGTTATATCATTAGGAATTGCTGGCATCAAAATTTTAAAAAATTTACATAAATTATGAATTATATTTTTTTCATAAATGTACTATTTTACAACACAATTGATATCTTATTTATTGTAGAAAATATACATGTAGTATTGGGCATTTCTGTATTCCTTCTCAATTTTCGATTTTTACCCTAATGTAACATAATGGCAAAGATTTTACGGTTAAAAATTGTATCTTTTCATATTATGAAATTTATTAAAATTAATGCGTTATGATATAGAATAAATTTTGATAAATAACTAATAAATATAATTATGCATTAACATGTCTTTTTCTTGATGATGAATTATTAAAAAATTAAATATAATTCTCTTGCAAAACTGTTATTTAAAATGCTAATTTACTACAATATATAATATTCCAAAAAGGTGTGTTAAGAAAATAACAATGCGTATACGTATACCTTATTAAATAAAACAGGTGTAAAAAGATATTTATGCAAAAATTCTAAAAAGTGATGCATCTAAAGGACAATGCTTTTTCTTTTATTTAATCATACTAAATAGTATTTTTACCATAATATGATTTTTACTCGTATAAATATATTTTAGTAAATTTAAAATAGTATGCCATATTGAGTGCTATTTTAACACAGGTTCATAAAATAAGTTAAAGCACCTTTTACCTAGTTCATATTTATAATTATTCTTACATATATAGACAAAAATTACACAACGAATTTTAAGAAATTATAATTTTCTTATGTTTTTTATTCATACATAGGCGTCGTGTTAATGAATAAAGCATAAAATAAAAATTGTAAAATTTAATATATTTGATTCGCTTAACCTAAATTATAAAAAGTAAATATGTTTTAAAAAGTAAAAAAAAGAATCCATAATGTTATATGAACAAAATTTATGCATAATTACACATTTATAAAATTTTTATTGCGCTTCATTATTCCAAAAATATCATTGCACCTTGTCAAATTAAAGAGAAAGGAAATATCCTCTTACATGCACATGATTTAGTTTTTTTACTTTTATCACCATATATTAAGTTATCATGTGTGTCTCATTTTTTTTTTATAACATTTTTTGACGTATTATAACTTTACATTTATTTTAAAGATTTCTATTTCATGTACTTTTGAGTAGCTTTCAGTTAAAAGCTTATTATATATAAATATTTTTAATATATTAGACTACATTATACTTTTAATAAAAACTTTTCAGCATGTTTTCGAATATGATGAAAAGTGATTTCTTTAAATAAATATAACAATAATGATAATTATTTTCGCATCTTTTTTGTATATCTTTTAGTGATATATTATGGATTGGTTATTAAATTATATTCTAGATTCAGTATAACTCTTTTTACCTATTCACCGTATTTCATTAATAGATGCTTAATAATATAACATTCTAAATATAGTATACATTATTTATATTTTGTTAAGGTTGCTTAATTCATCCAAGGTATAATGCATGTATGCTGTTTCTTTTATTTGCTATTATTATTTAAAAATATAATCATATTTTTATATTAATGTGTGCTTAACCAAGTTGCAAAAATTATTTATAAGGCGGATATTTCTTATATATAATAATAAATAGCTTCCGTAAAACACGATTAACAGACGTGTCTTTTCTCAACCGATAAAGTGAAATGTTTGCAATTAATAATGCCCTGAATTTCTTTTTGCCTATGTCTAAAATTCAGAATGAAACGTGGATGTATTGTATTTATATTTGACTCTTTATATATAAATCTAATTGTGTGTCTTTTCTTTGATCTTCGAATTATCTTTTAATTTTATTTTTTCTAGTATTTTAGCATGTTTCCCCTACTAAAAATTATGATAATTCATAATTTCAAATTTTTTCTTTTTATCTGGCATTGCACAAATACAGTTAAAAGTAAGAATATTATAATTATTAAGATTTTTGTGAATTATCAAAAATTATACCTTCCATAATTAATGAGACTTTTGCTTTTGGAACAATTATCACATTGTGGACCGCTTTTATCAGTGATAATGTAATAAATATTTTCATAATAAATGTTCATTAGTTTTTAAATGCATCTTCATATGCTATAATAACCATAATATATTTTTGTAAAATATAACAATGAGTTGCTATCTATGGCCATATTATTGAATTCCTCAATATTAATTCCACAAAATATATGCTCAGATAGCTTAATTCTTTGAATTATGATTACTACTATGTAATTTAAATTCTTACAACATTCAACACTGTCTACATGATTACATATATATATTTTTCTCCTTATTTATTATTTCATTATATTTTTACACTTATACAACAAATTTATAATAATTTTGTTATCATTTTGAATAATAAAGGGTAAAATGACCCTTCAAGATTTTTTTTTTTTTCTCATATTTGCATTGTCTTTTCTTCAATGAAGTAATTCCAAATTTTCATTAGCATTCCTAAATCTAATAGCATAAAAAGGGGCACAAATATATATAGATAACATTTATTGAGTATATTCTTAGTAATAAATTAAGAAAAAATTTTATAAACTTAATTATCTCATATTCATATCTATTGCTACCTGTTTCCACTTTCTTAAGCAAAATATATGAAAAAAACTATTAACATATAAATATACATAAATTTCCATATAAAAATGCTTTCCCTAAAACTTTAAGTATTGGTATTAAAAGTACAGTTATACGTATATCTTATAAAATGCATGAAAATAACTTGTACATTTTTACATAAAATTAGGAAATAGTTGAGGGAAATATACTTAATTATTGGGGAAGAAATAAATGATTTTTATTAGGTATTATAATAGACAAATAAAATTATAAAACATATTTATTAGATATCCTTTTGGTTTAATGTTGATTACTAAAAGCACCGTATTAATACCTAATGCCATAAATTTATATTATTTAAATTTTCGTGTGACTAAAATATTTTCTTCTGAAAATCATCAAAAATTAGGGGTAAAGAATATTTTTCATAATTTCCGATATTTTATGTGTTGTAATAAGAAATATAAAAATTATGTGATTTGCATCAGACGACCCAGTATATTACACTAACATTTTCAATTATTGTGCTTAACACCAAATGTCTATTTATTACATTTTGAAAAAATATATATAAAATAAATAATAAATAATTATTCCATGTGTTAATATATCTAATGATACCAATATGCAAATGTTTATGATATATATTTAAGTTTAAAAATTTACAAATGTTTTATTTTGTTTAAGAATAAAGATTATTCTCTTTTCCCTAAATATACATAATTTAAACTTGATCATTTATTTATACAATTATTAAACTTTTCTTCTTTTACTTATTTTTTAGTGTCCCTTTTCATGTTTATATCGAATACCAGATTCACACATGTACACACATGTTTACAAATTAATGAACTTGTAATATAGGTCATTAGTTACCATATTTACATGGATTATTATTAATTCCAAGTTCATACTAAATTATATGTCATAAGGATGTTTTGGTTTTCAACAAGAACAAGAATAAATTGTTAAAACATTAGAGTAGCTTGTCATAGTTAACATAAGAATATAATACTCTATTATTGATATGTAAAAAAGGAAAAAAAATAATATAAATTAACAAAGATAAAAAAAAAAAAAAAAAAAAAAAAAAAAAAAAAAAAAATGAATAAATAAAATAAACTAATAACATAAATAAAGATTAATTCTAAAAGTAAAAGAGAAACATGTGTGAAATAAAAAAAAAAATTAAAAAAGTATTTTAATTTTATATATAACACAAGAATTGCATATAATGCGCAAGGAAAAAAATAATAACGCCTATGTTTAGAGTGTAATACATTCACCATAGCACCCATAACTAATTTTCTAAAATGCTATGCTATTTTACAGTGTTACTGATGTAAATAAATTTCTTATTATTCTTAAAAATAATTTATAGCTTTCTTCTGTTTTCAATATTTTTTATTGTTTTTCATCTCCATTTTTCAATTCAACAAAATTTTTAATATAATCGCATCGTATAATTACTGTCTTATTTATATCATTCTTTGAAAATTTCAGAGTTATTCCTATATAATTAAAGTATATTTATAATTGCAATGTTTCAGTTATATTGATGAAGTTTCATCTCATTGCGTGAACAAGGGCATATACCTTATTGTGTTTTAATCATTGATATTCTATCTAACATATTTTTATTGCCTTTAACCTATATCCAAAATATGATGGCTCCTATATTTAATTTTCTTTTTTTTTTTTTTTAATAATTTCAAAATCCCCTTTTAACTACATTTATTGTGTATTGAAAAGAATAAATAGTTTTTCATTGCATGATATTTAGTTTTCATGTGTCTGTCTGTTATATTTTACTGACTTATATGTTCTTATTTATTTTATCAACTGACCCTTAAAAAATTTTAATACTATAATCAAAGCAAAAGGTTGTTATATATTATGCCACAGTGTACCTGTAGTTATCCATAAAAATTCCTAGTTCATTGAATGGCCAAATATTGTATCCTTCTTTCCAAATTTTATAGTGGATCTTCCGAATCATTATCTAATAACTCATTCTTTATAAGATTGTAGTGATTATGGGCCAAATTTTTTTTTTTTAATTTCGTTTTATTTAACCTGCATCCAAAGGCTGTGGAATAATTATAGAATAAAAACATAGAATATATAATATAACAATTTTTTAACTAAAATTATTGTTATAAAATATTTATTCTTTAATTTCAGTTTTATTATTACTCTATGATAAAAAAAAAAAAAAAGGAATAAAAATGTCACCAATATTGTAGAAAGCATTATAGAAAGATGAAAATAATTTGAATTAAATATATTATGCATTGTTAAAATAAAATTAGAAGAAGCATCATTGGCCTCACTTGATGTAGAATGAGGATTTATTGAAACGTGTGCTCTTTCTTCTACGAAATCAACAGATACACCATCACTTGTTGGAAGAACCATAGAAATCTCGTGCATTACAATCCTATCATCTAGAACTACTGAATCTTCGCTTTTTCTTAACATTTGAAGGTCTAATTCTAATTTAATCATTAATGCCTTAGGATTGAGCTTTTCTAGACATTTAATATATGGAGAACAGTAATCATATACCCCTTTGCCTTCTTCACAACAGTAATATTCTTTGTCATCAAATATAGGAATAATATATTTAACATACTCTACATATTTTTTGCATTCGGTATAAATAGAATTGTTACAATTAAACTTTTCAAAGTTTTGAAAATAATAACACAAATCTTTTTCTTCCTATCATTGTTTCATATTAGCAGATTGATAGCATCTGGAAGATTCCTCCTTCAAATCGCTTGAAATAACATTTGCAACTAAATTAAAAAAATATTCAATAACATTATTGCTATATATCTTATCCAAGATGTTAAATTTTTTCCTTAATTCTTCAAAGAATCAATACTAAAATTAGTAGCAACTCGCCTTACGATCTTCATTATTTTGCATACTTGATATTTCTTTTAAATTTTTTAATATGTTTTTACAAAATCTTTTAATTCTATCATCGGAGCTTGTAATTTTCATTCATCCTTCATTTTCATCAGTTAATTTATCTTCATCATTCTGGTTTTTATATTTGTCATACGAAGGAAAACGTGAAAATAATTTTTCCTATTATTATGATACCCGAAGTAAAAAATATTTAATAAATAAATGAGTTCATTAACAAATGTATCCTTTAGGCATGTTAAAATTGTAAAGGATATTCAACAAATGACCATTTTATATAATCAGCACTTAAAAATACCCAATTGTTCTGTTCTAGTGTTCCAATTTTTTTAAAGCATGTTTATTAATTGAAGCAACAAATTTTGCAGAATAATAAATGTATACATTTCAAAAATATGTATACATGACTTACATCATTATGAATTTTCTTATATTAATTTTATGAACTAAGTATTTATTCCATGTAGTTTTGTTTTTACTGAAGATTCTGATTAAGCTACATTAATACAATTAATATAATTTAAGATAAGAATATTTTCTGCAATTGAGCAAACAATTAAAATGAATGGCAATATTATGTACAAAAACTTAAACAAATACAGAATAATTCTAGGATAGCAAATATATATAATTAACTCTACATACAAATTTAGTAAAAACAGTTATTCCTATCTGAATTGTCATTCAGGTTCTGTTAAGCGTATAACATGTTCCCCGAAATATAATGATTTAACATAAAAAATTAAAAAATGTTCTTTGCTGGTTGTATGAGAAATTCCACACTTTTAAAAACAACATTTGCAGTATTAAATGTATTTTATTGATACTATTCTTATGATAATATTATCATATTGTGGCAATTGTTAAAACAAATAATTAAAAGCATAGAGGTTTATTCACAAAAAAAATTGGATATATTCACATCAGAGAATAATTCATATATTTTAATAATATTATGAAAACGTTTATATTAGTTCAATTAAAAAATGAAAATCACTGGAAATTTGGAAAATATCACTCTTATTACTGAAAAAAGCAATATGGCATGTCCTTTAAGGAAAATAAGACTAATAAAAAATTAAAACTTCATATAATCATTAATTTTTTTTATTCTTAATAAAAAATTATTATTGTTCATCATTTATCCTTTATCATATATATGTGTATGTTCAGTACTATCATTGGTTTCCTGTTCATAGTTATTTAAAAGTAAATTGTATCATGTAACTATATATCTAATAATATTACAAATAAGTTCTATTTTTATATCATTTATATAAATGATTCACGTAATATATATTTGCAAAAAACCTTATTTATATACATTTTTTTTTTTACTATTAATGTGGAACTTAATATTTATTGCTTATACATATAATTAATGTTTGTAATAATTAACACCAAAAAGAATGTTCATCATAAACTATGTGATGTTTTATCTAAGAACAAAATTAAACTATAGGCAATAAGTTATATTTTGTAGATTACATGTTCAATAAATATCATTAAAGTAGCATCTTAACTGTAACTAATTTAAACATACATATATATATAACTTTGAATTGACACTTTTGTTCCTATAATGCAAAATATTGCTACGTAGTATAATATAATTTATAAAGTCAAGAGAGACGCATGGGTCATCCTAATGAGTAGTAACTGATGGAAAACTTAAAATTTTCATGTTTTAATGCGTAAGTAAAATACATTTATGTAATTTTTTTTTCTCAGAACGTGACATTTATTACATAATTAACATCAGTGTAATTTAAAATAATTATCCATTCATGCTATTGCAATACAAGTATGCAAATAGTGTGTATTATCTTTTCATGATTTTAATTTACTATATCTAATAACCTCTTTTGATATGTTTTTATTCTATATCATTAACTTGTTTAGCGTTTTCATAAATTAACACAGAAAAAGTTTGTTCTTTATGCAAATTTTTTTTTCTAAATTGTAGAGAAATATTGTTCCTTTGTATATGTCCTAGGCGAAAAAGAATAAAAAAGAAAAGTCTGCTTTTTATTTGCATAAGCAAAAGACCTTATAAGCAACGCAATTATATTTACAAAAAATTCAGAAGTAAATATTCCTTTTTGTTACATAATCAAATTTTATATATATAATAATTTATAATATTTATTATAATATTTGTTTAATTATGCTATATTCATTTTGTTAAGTATCATAAAAAAGGACCATTTGTTATGGTATCTAAGAGCACCATTAAGTAGCACAAAGAAGAAAACAAGTAAAATTGAACTTTAATTCAAATTATACTAGATTATGAATATTATATTCATGCGAAATAATATTTCTCTACAAACCGTGTGTTTATAGATTTGTGTGCAATGATTAAGTATGTTTTTTAATATACATGTTACCTTTATGAAAATAAAAAACATTTTTTGTTTTGTTCTTGATTTTAAATAAAATTAGGTTATGTTTTAATGATTAATAATATACTAACATTATAATATTCTATATATTATTACCTATTATTGTTGTTAATGTGCATTCCCAATTTCACTTTTTTTGTCAATACATATTAAAAATGTCTGTTTCTAGTAATAGTTATATTACTCATATAAGTTAGTCTCAATCTGTGATTTAATGGCACTCATTTTCCAATAACTGATTAGTTACGTATCGGAATTCATTAATATAAACGTATAATATATATATATGCATGAAATTACAATTTTTTTGGTTTCCTTCATGGTACTACATACTCGTATGACCCTGTTAAACTCATTGTATTTGATTAATTCATTGACAGTTTTCTTGAAGGATTATTGTAAAACGTATATATTCTTATTTTATTAGAAATAGTTCTCATGATTTATTATTAGTATATTATTCCTCTCTATAAACGCAAAAACAAAGTCATATTTTTTCTTACACAATTTACATTTACGAGCTTGTGTACATATATTATATATGCATTCTCAATATTTATAATTTATTATGGTTTAGTAGCACATTCCTCAATATACTGTGTTTTAATCTTATTAATATTAAAATAGTGGATATGCCCTAAAAAATTAATGTCTAATATACAGATTAACACTAAACTTTCAGTGACATACAAATCAATTTTCAATTCTGGATTTAATTGTTCTTTGGACAATGCCGTTCATTGTTATTTAATTATAATATAATTTATACCAAAATATATTAATAATATGTTTTAAAAACATGAGTTTGTTATATAAATTTATTAAAATTTATGATAAATAAAATTCCATTATAATAGTTAACTTCTCATAAGAAATATTTTTCATGAATAATTTTTTCCTCCCTAATATTACAGATGCCTATGTCCGATTGTAGTCATCAGATAAGCGTATTTATATTATTAATAGTCCATTCCTCATTTTATTGATTCTGTAATATGTTAAAATGCATTCAGCTTAATTTTAAAATAACCCTTAACAAAATAAGCAATAAGCAGACACCTGTGACCTTACACACAGATTCTTTATTTTTTTTTTTTTTAGTTCTACTAAGTTCATAACAAAGTACGAATAGCATATAATATACTTAAATGAATAACACGCTTCTGTAATATTATTTATAACCTATTTGCAATTGCCCCTTACTGTATTACATACTACAAAGTACAAATATAAGGTATTATTATATAAAACACCAATAAGTACTTAAACATTACTTGAACAATGTAAATTATCCACAGACATTATATCATGTTGAAAAAATATAAAATGCGTTATTGCACTTTTATTCATTTGAACCAAGCTAATAAAAGTGAATGTAAAAAGTAATATTATTATATTCTTAATGGAGTATACATAGTTTTGTAATTTCGAATGCATTAAACAGAAATTTTACTCTTCCAACAAAAAAGGTAAACAATATATTTTTATAAACAACGACAAGCATGAATGATATATTGTTTTGATGACATATAAAATATATATGATATTATCCCTTTGACGAAAATAAATATTTCCCTAATGTAATATTCGCTTTGAAAACTAATTTTACAAATTGTCTAATAATCATTTAAGTTATACATGTTTCATTTTATTATGTGATAAAGGTAAAAAATAATAATAAAATAATTACATTGTATAATATGTATAAAAACAATATATAAAATGACATAATGTAATTACAAAAAAGATTAATAAACAAATTTTCTTATTTAAGGAATTATGTATAAGAAAATAAATGTACCTAAGCAAAAAAAAAAAAAAAAAGGTATACAACGTACTTAGCTCTTTTAAAATTTTAATGTGTAAGCATATATATACAGATCGATTATTATATAAATTTTTATAGCAAAAACATAGATTTTATATATTTTTTTTTAATATAATAAAACTTGTATACACCCATTTCTTAATATATTTTTTTATATTTCCTACTTTTATTATTTTAAAATTCTGTACATCTTATTTGTTTTCTTTCATGTATCACACATTTCTTTATAATATTACTCTCAATATTTATTAAACATTTTGAGCTATAAAAAATTCATAGAAAGCCATCAATATTCTTTTCCAAATGTAATTCTTCTCATAATTCCAATTTGTTACATTTCCCATTCTTGACAAAGGATGCTTTAATGACTGCCTTTATTCTTTATTATTATATATGCTAAATAATTGTATTTTTTTAAATCATACATATAACGTACCTATATTCCAAATCTGCTAAATATTTATAAGTTCTAACTTATATAATATTGTTTTTATTTCTTAAACTTATCTACATGTTCCATTGTAGAAACTATTAATTTGTTACATTTTTACCATTCTATTTTACTGACATGTTCATATGTATATTTTTTATGTGTTGAAATGTTTTGTATTATTAAAAATGCTCTTACTTCATATTCATTAAACCCAATGTGTAAATTCTTTAATCAATATATCAATGTCCTTTGCATTATTACGTATATGTAACATTTGTTAAAAAGTTTTATTACATTTCCTCTACGTAGAATCCATATAGGTAAAAAAGTTATAACCATATTTAGTCTTTATTAAAACCTGTTGTGTTTATACTCAGTACTACCTTTTCTTATTTTGGACAAATGATTTACTTAGAAGAGTACGTTACGTTATAAGCTCCCCCATTTGCATTAGTGACTAAAGATTTATCACTTCCATATAATATTACAATATCTTCATAACCAATGTTAGGTCCAATCCATCTTCTTATTTTTGCGCGTGTGCGTAAAAATGATCTTTTCAATGGTGTAAACTAACAAATAAATTATATAAAAATATCACATACAGATCATTTTTACTATATTAATAAAGGGAATTAAAAAAAATATATATTATAGAATAAAAATACAAAATAATATTATTTTTAAATAATATTTATATATTTACCTTATATAAAATATTAAAAATTAAAAATATTCCAAGCAACAAAATCATATATGGTATAAGGAAATCATATACAAAATGCATTCCATCCCACATTAAGCGGTATAAATAGTTATCATTGTTACCCGAGTTAATATTTTCATTTACACCTAATTCATCTTCTACACCGGGTGAAATTAAATTTTGTTCAAGTTCTTCAGCTTCAAGTTCATCCATAATATGCTTATATAAACCATCATTTCGTAAATCCAGCCTTTTTGCCTGTACAAATATGTTATAAACGTCTACATAGCAGGGGTTATATCTATAAGTAAAATAAATCAAAGGTCCCAGTGATATAATCATACCAGAAGGACGATATTTCATATAATCATCAATATATCTTTTACAAGTATAATTATCATCTTTGCATGAGTCTCTCCAAGTGTAATATATTGGGATTCTTTGTCTAAGGTAATCAAGATATTTAGGGCATGATTCTTTTGTCTTATAAATAATTTCTTTCCTCATTTTACCAAAATCTTCAAAAAAATCAAATAAATCCTTAACTTCCTGCAAAAAACCCATGTCACTATACAAATTATAGTCCGGAAGGCACTTAAAATCATTTCCAGTGAATTCCTTTTTAACAATGCTTTCCCACACTTTTTGAAGATTAGTAATAATATTCTTTAATTCCCTAAAATTTCCATTAGGTTGAAGTTTCTTAAATACTTCATCATGTAACCAATAATTTAAATCATAACAGTGTTTTTTTCCGAATTCATCCTTAGCAGGGTGCTTCTCATGAACAAGTGAGATATTTCTACTTAGTTTTTTAAATAAATCATTAATCCAATTATACTTTTTTGTTAATTCAGATATTACTTCGTATTGTCCGACATATTTTTCTATATCCGTATCCTTTTTCAGCTGTTCGTAAAATAGATAAGAAGGTGCATCGTTGAATACAACTCTAGACTAAAAATTAAAAGGGGAAAAAAAAAATATATTTATATATGTTTATTATTACGCAAGTGCATATTTTCCTTGTGCAATATTTTATTCTTATTAATAATTAATGGCAGATTATAATAAGTTACAAGAATATTATTTAACAAAAAAAATTAATATTTACTGGCTCTTCTGTCTTCATGAGTAGGATATATTTTTTTCTAAATTAAATGTCCGTGTTTTTCACAGAATTTTAACATTTATACTTAATGAATTGTTCCATATTTTTTTAAAATTAAAAATATTATTTGTAAATATCCAATTTCTTATCATTTATTTTTTAAGCAGTTGTATAAAACTTTCTTAATAAGAAATAAGACAATGTTTTATTAATGCATATATCTCTAATAATAAAATTCTTTTAAATTGTACCCAATAATTGTGTTATAAAAATCCGAGTAACATCCCTGTAATTGTATACATACATTAATCTGAATGATAGAAAAAATTAAAAAAAATAAAAAAGGTGAAATATTCCACAAAACTACATAAAAGAAAATTCTGATTAAAATCGGTTCAAAAACTTAAATAGAATAATAAAACGTAATATGCATATATAATAACATGTACTTATATTTTGTCATGATGATTCAATGTTTTCATACCTTGTTAATGGAAAGGAAAAGACTTTATATTATCAACATGTCAGTAATTTTTTTTTATCAAAATAGTGGTGAATTCAAAAACATTATGCCATTCACAATAAGCATTCGATCTATGTAACGTATAGGCAATTGTATTATATTTAATTTTAATATAACTGTAAAATTTATTCTTAATTGTAGTGTAATGGTTAAGCGGAGTTTCCCACGATGTTAATATTTATCTTAATATTATCGCATAAAGAAATTATATAGGAATAAATAATTTTATATATAACAAAATAATACAAGCACTCTTATTTAAAATAAAGATGTCATACACATACTTTAAATGGAATAAGTATTTTAAGATAAACAATTTAACACAACGTGCTTATATGTTTAACGTTATACTCAGTAGTAAATACATGTATGTAAAAATTACTTTCATTTTAGTTTTAAACATAATTACATATATATATATATATATATATATATATATATATTATCAATAAGCTGAAAAAATAATAAAAAATTTAGAACCTTTTTACATTGCTCATAAAATATATTTTGTGCACTTTTAATGTAACACATTTAGAATTTATTCTGTATTTATTATTATATTATATATTCACTAAAATTTAATTTTCGTAAAGTCATAATTTTCAACTATCATTCCTTTAAGATATGTGTGTGTAAACTCTTCCATTAGTATAAATAATTAATTTTTTTTCACCTTAATGCAATATAAAGTTGACATTTTAATTGTCAGTGATGTTGTTCTTTTATTATCTTATTACCTTAAGAAAAATTATTCATTTGTTGCTTTTTTTATCAGAAAAATTCATTAACAATAAATAATTATTAGCTTATAATCAAGGTAATAAAACAAAACATTCTGGAATGTTTTTTCTCATCTTAGGAAAATTTTATATTGTATAATGCGCAAAAATAAAAGATAAAAACTACCCATCTATGGCAAATACATATTTTCGTCATTACGTCGAACATACAAAATAATTATATCATACTAAGAAAATGTATATTAATATATTTTTTCTCTTTAAATGTGTAATATCATGTGAATAATTATTAAAAAAAAAATTATTTTAGTTTTTTGGCTATGCTTATAAATTATTAATATAACAAAAAATATGCTTGTATATATTTTTTAAGCTGAAATTATTTTCCCCTTTATTTGTATAAGAAAATTATATTATATCCCCAACGAATTTAATCTGTCATTTATAAAAATTACATAATTCTTAAAATATGCTTTACACTAATATATGAAATTTATGAATATATAGAATTATACCAGTTTTCATATTAATAAGACTTTTCCAATGAGATTGATAACTGTGAATTATTTTTTTCTTAATTTATTGATGTCGTGTCTTTCTATGCTTCTTAATTTTTCTAGAATATATATGGGGATCAATGAATTGCCAAAAGCAATTATAAAGAATTTTGTATTGTAATAATACCAGAGTTCATAACATTTTTTTTTCCAAAAATTAAATAACTATAAAAATGTATTTTTATAGTTTGAGTTATTCATTATGCTGTAATAAATTTTGCTTCATACGTGTATAAAAAATATTTTTGTTATAGATGTAAAAAAAAATTTCCTTGGTCTTTTTTTTCATATAAATGTTAATAACATGGATCCTATAAATATTTTTATTTAAATTTGTTCACGCTGTATCTACGCATATACTTTTGTTTTCACATATTTTCTTATTTTTAGTAATATTAAAAAAATAGAGGAGAATATATGCTATATATTTTGTTAATTCTAGAATGTAGCATGATAAGGTATTTTTTTTGTGGACTTCTTTTTTTAACATATGAAATTGCATAACATTTTTGAATTTACGTCTTTATTATGGTAAAGACACATTAAATAGCAAATATCTTATATCCGAACAAACTCATTTTTAAATATATATAGTGTAGTTCACAACAAGAACCATTTTTTATTTATATCCTAGATCCTTTTCATGATATTGCCTTATCTATGCCTTTTTGATTTCCTTTCTGTAAATAAGTCCTTATAGAAAAAATATGGATATTTCCAATTTTATTCTTTAAAATTAGAGAATTCAGGCATTTTTTTTATATGGTAAATATTTATATAACCATGATATGTATTTACATTCATATTAAACTATATATTATAATCCAGAAAAGTATAAATATTACAGCGCAAATTTACATTTGTTTTATTATATACCCTACAATGTCTTACATCATGTATTATTACAATTAAGTGAAATATGTTTTTTAGTAAAAATTTTGTCATATTCCACTTTTGAAATACACTACTTGTTTATATAACTACATTGTAGTTTCAAATGTGAATTCTTATGATTCCTAATTTGTAATTTTTCATGTATAACCTACAAAAAGTTGTAATTTAGCTTAATGTTGCCTAATAAACAATGAAAAGTCTAACTATTAAAAATTTATGTTTTAGCATGAAAATGAAAAGTGACTTAATGTATAAATGTATTTAGTTCCATTATTTTGCATATACATATAAATATATATATCAAAAGTGTTTATCATTTTGTTATAATAATTTAAGGCTCAGGACAATGAGACAACATCCCCATTTATATATTGATAATATATATTTTAGTTTCGGTAAACACTTAGAGATTCAAAATTTAACATTATGTTTCAATTATAATTAAACCATAGAATTAGTTGTAAACGTATTACAATCCACGTTTGTATTTAACCTTTTTTACAGCATATAATTTTAGGGCGCGGTTGTTGATTATTCAACAAGCGAGTCCCTTGTTAACATAGATATTTGAAAGGATAATTATCTAATTGTTTTAATAGAAAAAATCTCGAATATATTAGGTATGATAACTTCAACGTACTTTATAAAAAATTTCTAGAATATTTTAAGGGTATGTTTTTCATCCATCCTTCCACTACAAAATCAAATGAGTCTAACAAATAACTTGAAATCATAAATTTTTGTATAAAATATGATTTAAGGATGTAAACCATATCCTATTAAAATAGTAATGATTATAGCACTATTTAAAAAATGGCTGTGAAAACTCAAAACCCAAAGAAAAAGTTACTAAACAAAAAGTATTGTATAGAAAAAATGATAAAATATTTACATAAGAAATAATGTATAATAATAGAATACTAGATAGTATATTAGCAAACATTTTATGCGATTTAAAATAATATTAATTAATCTAATTACAAACGAATAAACTCATAATACATGATATTCGATATTAACAGATATATTAGCACATATCTAGGATGTAACCATATGTTAATAAACAATGATCTAACAAAAGAAACAAAATAAATCCAAGGTGTTAAATATTTCTCGTATTAAAATATATAATATTTAGTTACTTTATATTACAATAATTTCGTTGTGTTTTATTTTGTAAATAGAAAATCTAAATTAAATTTCTCTCACCAAAATAAATAATATTATATGTACTTCTGTTATACATAAAAAGTAAAAATACAATACGTGTTATAAAAAAAAAATAAAAAATAAAATTATCAAAAGTTATAGACAATAATTTATATAACAATATCCCACAGTTAAATATATATAATAAATGTATTGTAAAATTAATATCTATGTCTGTAATGATATTGTTTAATTCAAATTTCATATAACTTGACAAAAAACATAACTGTACCCAATAAATATGATGATTAAAAAAAATAATATAGAATGAATAATGGTTATTTTTATATTACATTTATATATGTGAGCATACTATTGCAACAATTCTTTTGAAATAGCTTTTTATAAAAGAATAATTCTAAACTTGATATATACAAATTAGTTACATATATAAAAATATAGATTTCTGCGCATTTATAATATAAAATTGCATTCAACGTTAACCTAATGCTAAAAATTATATAATGTTAAATTGTTTTTATATGTTATATATCTTATTCAGATATAATTCTTCAAAAATATGATAATTCATTATAATAAGGTACATTCATGTTTTATATAAGAAAAATGAAATTGCTAAGCCCTAATATGCTATATTATCTAGCCTTTTCTCCTAATTGGCATTTCTTGGTGATTGTGCACTATAGAAAATTTTCATTAATATATTATAGTAAAACAGAGTAATTTTTTTTTATTTATTTTATATTTTTATAATTGTTAAATTTAACGTAAGAATAATGCTTTCTCACATGTTTACTGTTTAACTAATAAAAAAAAAAACCATGAATTATTAAAAACTTATAATAAATTAACCCATTTACTTAAATTGTGTTATTTAACATTCCTAAAATGGAATACTAATTTATCAACAAATGTCTTTTATTGTTTCCCCACGTCTCTTTATATATATGAATATTTCAATAAAACATAATTACTCATTAATAACTTCAATGATATTTAAAGCTCCCATTTTTAGTTATTTAAACTTATCCATTTTGTGTTGTTTAGCATATTAATGGAATACACTAATGTAACACTTTATTCTGTTAAAGCGTGTTTTTCCACCATATTATGGTCTTAATTTTTATTTTCTTCTCATTTAAATTTATTTATTCTACAAAATTCATATAGTACTAAAGTGATTCTTTTTTAAGTAAAAACTGTAGTAATAGTTGTAACATTAATTTAAATCTGAAGTTTTATTAAAAAGATATTAAATATGACATATCCGTGAATTATACACTTTAATTATTGGTGCAAATTGCTTATACACAATAATCATTAATTTCGCCTTTTATTTAAACTGCATATGACAGAAAAAAAAAATGCCTTCAAATGATCAAGAACCAGATGTACTTCTGCACTAATTTTTTATATTATAGAAATATTTTTTGCCTCAAATATTAATACTATTATAGACATAAAGAAAAGTCTATTTTTTTTTTTTTTTTTTGCAATTTCATTTTATTTATTTGTATAATTTAATTTTTCAACTTATCTTTAGTATGACATTTTTAAGGATTCATGGATCTATGAGGTTAAGGAAGATGATGTTTCAAATTCGTTCGAAGATACAAATATTGCTACTTCATTTTGTGAAAATATTGAATCGAGCAACGGAGTCTCGAAAAGTAACTTGATTAGTCTATGTGAGAATTTTGTGAAACACTACTTATATATATCTGATGAAGATATTCTTGCAACAATTAAATACGATAATATTAAATGTTTTAAATTGTTGAACTATTGGTTAAATGATAAATTAAGGAAAATGGATACTACTGACGAAATTAGACAAAAATTTTGCAGACATATAAATAACAATAAAAAAAATTTTGACTTGGAAGAAAATTTTAAAAACAATATAATATATGCTATAGATAAAGAAGATTTTGATAAAATGCAATTACTATATCGATTATACGATAATTATTATAAAATTTTTGGTAAAAATATTAACGATACTGAGAAAAAAAACTGTTCCATATATGTTTCTGCTTGCTACAATGATTATAAAGAGGGCTTACAAAAATGTTCAAATGAAAATACAAGAGACATTAAATTATGTGATGCACTAAAAAATTTTAGAGATTTATATGAAGAAAATAAATTAAAAAAAACATTATGCAATGATTCACATTTAAAAGAATTATTGGATTTAGAATCATTACACTTAATAAATGAAAAAAATATAACTAGGAGTGAAGAAATTATTTCCCCAGTAAATGTACATATATATGCATCACACATAGTGTACCTTTGAAAGTGTATTCTAATTTTTTATAAATTTATTATTCTTGTAATGTTACATATATATATTTTTATTTCGAAACAAATTTATAATATATTCATTAATGTAAACACTTATACATTCGTATATATTATTTTTTCTTTTTACTTTTAGTGCGATGCTTTTTTTAAAAAATTAAATTCAGAATACTATTATGATATATTTGATGGTTATGATTATGAAAATAAGAAATTAGAATTATTTAAAGTCATCAATGACTTTTATAAATGTTATTTAAGTATTAAAAATACTAATCCTGCAGAAGCAATTAGTCATCGCGCATATTTTAGATTGTTTGTTTATGAATACGTTGACCTATATCATGAAATTAAAAGTGAATGTTCTTCTAATGGAGATATAAAATCTTATTGTTCACACTACAAAACCTACAAAAGATTATATGAGAAGGAAGATAATTCCTATTTTGAAAGAGGGAAAAGACCAGAAGTCAAAAAAAAATTATTTAATCAACAGTCCATACAGTTAGAAAAACCAATAAGTACGTCTGGTTACATTTATGATGATGCTTCTAATACAGCTATAACACATCCTATAATATCGATTTGTGCATTCCTAGGAACATTTTTTATTTTATTCATTTTATATAAGGTAAATGATAACACCATTATGTTATGTAAATAGTATTTAAGCGTCGTCATAAGATTTATATATGAAAAATTATTACTACAACAACATTTACATTTACAAATACGCAATGTAATATTGATGTTAGTTTACTCCTTTAGGTTCATACTTCCGAATTAGCATTAGAAAAAAGAAAAGATGGAAGGGTGTTAAAATCAAAACTAATCGATCTTCTTCTCCACCATCTGAATATGAACTTATAAATTTTAATAGGAATGCATATGGAATATTATATCATTCTTAATAAATTTTAATCGCAAGTACATTTGGTATCTACAAGACACTTTTACAGATATAACATAAATACACAAAAAATAAATTACGTGTAATTCTATTAAAAAAAAAATATAAAATATAACGCTAAATAAATAATTATATTATAATACACAAATTGAAATTATAACAAAAGTGTAAATCATTTTATATTGTTCTGTAAAAAGAAAAACAGGCACACCCTTTTATGAAAAAAGAATGATATCCTAGACTATTCATTAATATACTAAAAGAATCATAACAAAATAAATATTTTTTTGTATCCATAAGTTATGCACATATACATTGGTATGTGACAAAAGTAGAAAATGTATATAAAATAGGTAATGCGAAATATCTTTATATTACATTGTCGGTATTACAAGTAAATATTAAATAAGTTGATATACACTCTATGAACTGTTAATATTAATTAAAAAATTAATGCCGTGTTTGCAGAAAAGTGAATAGTTAAAAAAAGTAAAATAAAATTTCCACATATAATTTTAGCTTATAATATGAGGAACGTAAATATTAATGGATGGAATGCACTTTTTTAAACTAAATAGAATGTCGTCTTAAATTTTTTATAATAAATAGAACTTCCAAATGAAATAACTAATGATGAATAATAACATATATGAAATACAAGATTAGCATCCTTAATGGGAAATATAAATAAAAAAAAAAAAAATTTCTAAAGAATAAAGTATTTCGTAGTGTAATAAGTATGCTACGAATAATGCATGCAGAAGTATATTTGTTTATTTGTAATGCAGAGGTGTATCTTTTTGTATTAAAGCAATGGACGAATAAAGAAGATAATAATAAATATATGAACATAAAAAAAAATAAAAATTTGTTTTAACTTACAAGTATATGTATTATTTTTAAGATAAAATTTTACTAATAGTGAAACGGAAAGAAAATATACTAATGATATACCTGAGTTTGTAAAGAACAACATTATAGCTATAAATATTAAATATGTTATTGAATATAAAAATGTAAAAATAACGCTTGTTTCAATTGACAAAGTCTTTTTTTTTAACATAGATCCTTGCATCCAAAAAAGATATGTAAGAATAGTTATATGTGTACATAAAAAACAGTAGAACTATCTTTATAAGGATAATTGGAAAATATCAATAGACATGGGAAATAATAAAGTAATATAATATATCTCATATTATTAAACAAAAATAATATATTTAGCCAAAACAAAGTAAGTAAAAATTTACATATTATTTACATTGCATGCTTCTAAAACATAGCGAGGTACAATAATTTTTTTAAAAAAATATATGTGAAAATTTACAAATTAGTCGTATATATATTAATAATATGGAAACAATGACTCGTCTAAGATGTGCTAATTTCAATTTATTAGCATATGCATGTATTAATATATTTAAAATGTAATATAAAAGAATATACACAATATAAAAATGTCATTATTAACGGTAAAGGAATATATACACATATGTCTAAACTGAAAAGAGTTTACAATATTGACTTATATATTTTTTTTTAATTTTCATTATATCAAATATATATTTCGTAATTAATTATTTATTTATATAACAAAAATACAATAATATATTTAATGCATATGACTTTAGTAGCAACACTATTTCCTTAAAGAAGAATATTCCTTCCCTATATGCATACAAATATGTTAAGTGTGTAGGAAAACAATTAATGTACTACAATGTATTGCTGTATAAGGAACCTACATAATATAATAATTAATTTTTGAGTTACTATTTATAAATTATCGAAATTAAAAAAAATGTATTTTTTTTGTATTCACCTTTTTCATTGTTAATTTTATTTAAAATATTTAATTTTTGTTTATTGAGTTATTTTATTATAATGTGGATAGAAAAACCGTATTTGAAAAATAAAAATGATGTTTTATAATTCAACCGTTGTATGGAAAATGTCGATATATATATTATCTCAGTAATAATGCGGATGACCCATCATTTTATTATACTCGCTTTTTTTGTATATTTATTCCTCTTGAGATGAGTAAACTATTTGTTTTATAACATTGCGTTTATTATTTTTTTAAATGTTACTTATTTATTTTTATTATGTATAGTTACATTTATCCAAATATTTTTATTAAATGCTGTATTATGTGATTTTTAATAATCATACGTGGATTGCCCACACTCTCTTCAACGTTGTTTTACCCTTATAGAATAATTTCTGACATATATTTTCGTAATTTTTCTTACCAATGCAAGACATCTATAAATCGATGATGTTATAATTAAATATAAATTGTTACTAAATTGTAAAATATTCAAAGTAATGTTTATCATTCTCGTACTGTTCAAAATATTATTAAAAAAAAAAAAGTGTAAAATATATATAACAAAAACTAACATAATATAAAAAAAAAAGGATATTTTGTAAAATAACTATATATATTTACACAATTTATATGTAAAATATATAATGAGAATAATTTCCACATTTTTTAAGAATACTATACTATTCAAGCTTCATTCAAGAAAGACATAGAGTACAATAATTAGATTCATTTTTCATATATATAAAAATAAATAGCAACATGTAAAAAGAAAAAAATAAAATAATTTTTTTTTGTTATAATTATATATATATAATTGTAACGTTTTCATAAATGTAGGAAACCATTTAACATATTTAAGTATATAATTCCCCATGCCTTAATGATATACGCAGATAAAACTTGCATGAAACAATAATACGGAATGACTTCTTCAGAATGGTACATTTTGTACATATATTTATAAATGAGTTACCTGTATAGATTTGATCTAATATTAATAAACAGTTAAAACGAGTCCTTGCGGTATAATATTAATTATGTAAGAAAGTTTCCTTAAATAATGTTTAAGAAAGAGAAACATAATTAAGAAAAAGTATTATTATATTTAACGTTATTTGACTCCCATAAAATATGTATTAAATGTATATATAGGAAAATATATTTCATGTTAGCAGACAAATACACAGTAATAAAATTTATAAAAATCCCAAAATTATAATAATTATTGTTAAATAATTGTGCTTTTTAAAACATAATTATATAGTTTTGATATATAAAAAATGCATAAAAATTAATCAAAATAAACATAAAAATAATAACTATATTTATAATGTGTAACTTAGCATTATACTTAAGTTTCACATTCAAAATACTTATATGTCAATTTTAGATAAAGTATTGTATCAAGCTAATTTTTCGATATGATGAAATAATGGGTATTTAACATTCAACGATAATATTAATATATTAATTATAAAACAATGCATGCACAATAGACATTAGTTCATGTACTTAAAAAAAAATATGTATAATATAATTCTGCGTATTATCTTCGTTGAAATCCTTAACAAAAGAAAAAAGATAACAAGCCTCCTAGTAATATATAGAGAGTATGAAGAATTGAAACCCGCTTATTGATGTAATTATTATTATTTCTTTGGCTATAAAAACAAATTATTTTGTATATCCATATTTTTTTGAGAAAAATTTAAAAAGTGTAATCTAAACATAGAATAAAAAAAAATACATTATAGTTAAAGAATGTTCATAAAATGAGTTAAATGGAAAAATATAAAAAATGTAATCCTGTAAGAATTACATCAAAAAGCATTTTTAAATTTAAGTCTAGAACAATTCCAGAATTACTAAGTGTTCATTGCAAACATGTATTATATTAACAGATACACACAAATAATTCTGTAACAAAATAGAAAAAAAAAAAATTATGAATAATTTTCAATAAATAAAATGAGTTAGAATAATTTTACAAAAAATGATAATTCATTTATTTATGTGTATAACATATAAATATGGCAACTTCAATTTATGGAGGTAATCTAATTTTCATAATGTTAATTAAAAAGCATTTTGAAATAGAGAATTATGAATGTCATGAATAATGGATATGGGAAATGAAAAAATAATGTATCTCATTGATAAATTAAATAATTTAATAAGTATTAAATAAGAAATTATATAAGAAACATGTATTAATAGAGCTAAAATGACAAATATGCGAAGTGCATATAGCTCTTGTTAACCCGCTGCGTAACCCAAAGGTTATAGAAAAAATTTACATTAATGACTCAAACTTATTTAATATTATCCTTATTATTCAGTTTGTTTAAACATATATAGATGAAACAATGATTTCGTAACTTTTCTAAACATATAAGTAAATATAAATGACATCTTTCTAAAAACGTTGTGTTATTGCCATCTTTGTTATGACGTGCAAATTTAATAAAATAAAAACTGTAAATAAATTTGATGCAGTAGCAATTGATATATACTATATTTCGATTCTAAATAAAATAAATAAATTGATGTACATAATAATGCTGTAGTGTAAACTTAAGGTATTCTATTAAATATACACACTAGGACAAATAATATATTGTTTTTTTATTATTTTTAAAAATACATATTAACACTAAATAATATAGAATAAATTTTCATTTTCAGAAAATGCTGTCACCATACGTAAAATATTTTTAATAAATTTTTGTATCATTTAATAAATATAACATTATAACACTATGTTCACATTTGCGATCGCACAAACTTGAACAATCTAATTTTAATAAATCACATAGATAACATATACTATTCATATTTTCATTTTCCCATTAACATATATATAAATTCAACTTTCTTTAGGTCATAATTTTTGTCTCTTTTGGAATATTTAATTATACTTGCAAAATAAGTATACGTCTTTTTTTTTTTTTTTTTTTCATTTTCTTAGTTTGCAAAATAACGTCATCAAAAGAAACACAATTAAATTTAATTATACATAACGTTTGTGTTAATAATTTTCCATTTATTATTTCCTAATATACATTATTCAATCATGTAAAACAATTCGCATAATATAAGCAATGTTTGAAAATATATCCTATGCGTGCATTAAGCACCATTATTGATTGCCCATTTCTTTGTATGGATTTATTCCTAATATATTTTTTAATAACTGTTTTTATTAGTTTTTATATTTAATAACACTTTAAATTCTATTGTAACTATTTAAACTCCTTCCATGCAATATAATATTCTGTTAATAATAATAACAATAGTGTTGTTAATATAATAGAGCATTTTTTAAAAATATGTGTGCATCACAGATCAATTGATTATTTATAATGTAATTATAAGTACTGTTTCATGAAAAATTATGAACATTTTTTCACAAAAAACATTTTCAACTTGTAATAAATAAACATTTTATTAAAGAATATTTTCCTATTATAAAGTGTTAATATTTATATTAATTTGGACTTTCCTCAAACTATAGAGCATTTTATTCTCTAAAAATCAACATCAAATAAATAAGGTTAATGCATATCTAAAAAAAATAATAAATTGTTGATATTAGTCTTATTCTAAGAAGAAAATAAAATATTTTCTAATGTACACAACATTTTGCTTTCAATATAATAAATTATCCCTTAGTAGTATTCTTTCAACAAATGGAGAATTACCAAACTGTTGTTACACTAATATTTTCTTATGCATTTACATCAATGATAAATTATTATCAGATAAAACATGATATAATTGTATTACCTTATAAATTAAAAAGTATATGAATATATAAAAATATCTTGTCCACATAATTCCTTTCGTCTTAACTGTTATAAAATAGCAAAAAACAATTCAAAAGTGTATAATGATGATACAAATGTTAATCAGAAAAATATAATAAGGGATTATTTTAAAAATTTAATGATACACAAAAATAATATTAATTAAAAGAAAAAAATAAGAGTTTTAACTTGAAAAAAAATGTTCAAAAATAACAAAAAAATATATTTACAAATAAGTGTAAAAATACAAAAATAAATGTATTTCCTTAATCATATTTTTCATCCTTTCTGTTAATTATGTGTTAAAGATCATATAGAATATTTGTAACATTAATGCCTTAATATCTTTAAAACATATAAATATAGGTTCATAAAAATTCAAACTGATTGATAAGATATAAGCACACCGAGACTCTGTGGATTTATTCTGGAATTTTTTGATTTATTCTTTTGTATATTTTGAAAACGGTTTTCATACTTATTTGTAATTCTGTTCTTTTTGAGTATCTTCCTGTTAATGCATATTCCCAATGGGGTGAACTGATAAATAATTTGAAGATGGGATATACGTAATACACTTATATAATAATTATAATTAATTTGAAAACAAAAAATATTATGAATCATAAAATGTTTATCATGTTGTGGAATATTTTTAGTACTTTATAGAAAACAAAAAAGGTAAAAAATATTCCCAGGCATACAAAAGCAGTTAACATGATAACATGGAAAGAGTCATATTCTGATTCACTGTTCGATGCTTCATACACATATATCGATTTGTTGCTCTGTTTATTATACCTTTCACTTATTAATTTAACATTACGATCAATGGTTGCTTCATCGTATATATTATCTACTTCTTCCCTAGATGGATGGTTTACACATTCTAGTTTAGACAGTAAAGTATACGGATTATTTTCCTTATCACATATAAAATAACTAGGGCATCTATTTTCAGCAACTTGATCCACACCGTAATAATAAATACAACACTCTTTTAAGTTTTTTTTATATATTTCGCTTATATAATTAACATAATTACAATATATATGACAATTATTTTTTGTTGGATCGCTGACACAACTAGAAATAGTGCTGTAGTTTTTAAAATAATCATGCAAATTTTTCATTTCTTTCCATTTATCTAGACTAACGTGAGAGTTATAATAATATATACAATTTTTAATATCTAAATGGTCCATGATTCTATAAAACACATCGAACAATTTTACCATATAATTTTCTATATTATTTATTTTATTTTCGCGAATTATTTTGCCTTTTTCATCATGTATCCAATAAATGAAATATTCACCCCATTCATTACAATTTTCTTTTTTAATGACTTCACGTAAGTTTTTTATAGCCTTTTTACAAAGCTCATATATTCCAGGAGTGTCCTTTTCTAGAATAAGTATCTCCTTGCAATCACCACAATATTTATCAATATTATTGTGCTTATTCAATTCTTCGTATTTCTTATATGATGGTAATTCTTCAAAATAAGTTATCTTAAAATTGAAAAAAAAAAAAAAACGATATATACATAAATCGTAATTTTAAAATAGATTAATTTCGTGATGCACATTAACCATTAACAAAATAATATCATAAACATTATAATAAAAGTGTATCATCCGTGTTTTTACACTTTAATGGACAAATTCTAACTTCAAAGTTTGTTTTACTATTATCCATTATATAATCATTATTTTGAAGCAATATTTCATGTGCATATGATGGTTCCAAGGTTTTTCTATTGCTTTCATCTTTGAAGAGTAGCTCAAAATGTCTACCAGGGCATACTAATTTTAAATTATTTAATTCTGTGATAAACACTTTTTTAAAAGCTGTTAATTCATCATTATAAGCTGATGATTTGTTACACATGTCTTCATGTTTCATAACAGAATACAAACCAAAATTGTTCTTAATATAATCACAATACTGTTTCGTATTCAAAGTTTCCTTTGAGCTTAAAATACTCTTTATATCCTTATAGTAACCTAAGAAATCATATAATTTTTTCTTCTTTTTAAATTGATTTTCATTAACATCAAAATTTTTATGAGAACATTTAATATTCTCCGAATTATTTGTATTCATTAGGTCCCAGGCAATGTAAAGCATTTTAGTAATATTTTTACGAAAAGGATGTCCTATTAATTTTTCATGTAACCAATAATTTAAATAATTACAGCACTCATTCTCATCTAAATGTGTTTTAAATTGATTCAATAATCCTGTCCATTCGTATAATATTAAATTAAGGTTGTTGCAAAGGACACGAAAATCACTATTTTTTGAAGTATTTTTTTGCATGCTACTACAAATAAATGTATCATTATTAAAATCATAAGCCGTATACAATTCTTCATAAAATCTATATAAAGCCAAATTTTTTAGAAAATCATCCTAAAAAACAAAGAGACAAATTTACCAGTAATGCTAAGATGAAATAAATATAATTCCTTTGGATAAACTGCATAAAGCAAAACATAAAATTCTATAAATTATGGTTTAATAGAACACAACAATTTTAATAATTATCAGCTCTTTAATAAAATCCTAATGTTATACTGTTTTGGGAATCTCAAATGTCTTTTTTCCCTCTTGAGCATTTATTTCATGCTTTTTCATAGATAATGAACATACGGATTTATTATTTTTATTGAATACTAAATTTAAACATCTATTAGGGCAATTTTTTTCTACAAATTGTAAATCTTTATTTTTTTCCTTAAAAATTTCTTGAAAAAGCAAAATCTCTTTATAATATATTTCTAATCCTTTTGAAATGTATCCATCATACATTTCTTCGTACACATCAAAAATGTGCTTTACATAGTTACAGTAGTGTTCCTGGTTTGACGTTCTTCCTTCTAATCTTTTTTTTATTAAATTATAGTATTCTAAAAATTCGTATAATTCTTTTTTATTTTTTATCACTTTTCTATCATATGCTTTTACATATTTTCTATAAAATTCATTATTCAAAATATTAAAACATATATGATTAAATTTATCCTTTTTTATAACTCTCTGTATATCTGTGTAAAATTTATTAATTTGCAATGTTTTAAAGTCCACATTCTTTAATTTATCGTATATCCAATATATTAAAAAATCACAAATTTTCTTATATGTTATGTCACCATGTTTAAGAACAGTCCAAATGTTTTCCCACGATTCAACTGTTTTTTCAATCTTACAAAACAGTTCGGTAATTTTAATTTCATCTTTCTTTCTATATATAGATTTTTCGCAAGTACCAACGTTACCCATAATTTTGTTCAAATGCCTTGACATATTGTATAGTTTCGATTCATTTTCTAAGTTAATCTATAAATATAATTAAAAAATAATAAAAAGCAACACTTAATATAAAATTAAATTTTTTTTATTTTATTAAAAATAAAAGAAGTTGTATGAAATTGTTTTTTTCATTAAGGAGTGGAAATTTACTTCTTCACTCAATAGCTTTATCGTGTTTTCGGCTATATTATTTATGTCCATTTTGAATAAATGGGTTACTAAAACGTTTGTGTCTAAAAGTATCTATATTTGAAAAAGAACACTATACATATTATTGATGCTTTAATGATTTATTATCCTTGTTTTTAAAGTATAATTAAATATTTTTTATGGTAGGCTTATTTTTAATTTTGCTTTTTTACTAATAATCTGTAGTTTTATTAGCATCATGTGATAAAAAAATTTTTAATGAAAAAAAAAAATAGGAATACAACTATTCTACACTATTACACATTTCTTTAAATACCAGGTAAATACGTAGGAATTTTAGTTCATTCACATTTATGTTTGTTTTATATAATCCAATTGATACACTTCTGATTATATACCCAAGACTTCTAATATATCCTAGTGTAAATTAAAATTTTCACTTAAATATTAATTTGGCCTTTTCATAATTTTCGCACACCATTTTTAGATTAATCTAGATCTAATGAAATTTTCATTAAAAAAAAAAAAAAATTTCAATTTAACAGCTAGAAATCAAAATATTCTTTAGTTTGTGAATGTCCTTTTAACTAATTTACATGGCTTTTTGTGTGTTTTAAGCCATTATTAAATGCATTCATATTCATTATTTAAGGAGCAATGCAAATTTACACAAAACCTTATTTGTGCATAAATATAATACATTAGGCGTTATTTCTTGTTAGAGTAACAATATTTAATTTAATATTTAGTCCAATATCTTTTGTAAATAATGAAAGAATAAAATTAATCAAAATTACCTCACAGATTTAACATGTATCTGATAATCGTATAGAGATGCAAATTTGGGTGTGTGTTCACGTACTAATTTTTCAAAAATTATTTAACATGTTTAAAAAAGATACTAATGTGTTTCTAAAACAATATTCATCAAAAAAGTATAATTACATTAGGAAATGAAAAAAAAAAAAAAAATTCCAATTTCACAATTTGGAAAAACATTTTTATATACTGGCCAAAATAATCATTATAAAAATGTACTTTTTATTAAAAAAAAATATGGAAAATATTTTAAAATATGATATAATGCAGAAAAATGTTAATATATAATTTTTCTAAGTCATTTGTATAAACAGGATCCGTACATGTATCAAGATTGCGTGAATTTTTAAATGAAATAAACTCACGATTTGACTTAAAACTTCTAGGCATCACAAACATTATGTTCAGTAGAAAATACAGTGCTATTCATCTATGAACTAAACGTGAGTAATTCTTATATTTTTCTTTAAAATGTCTATCATATTTTTTTCCACTTTCGTAATACCTTTGCTTCCTTTTATAATAACCAAAACTCGCATTGTTCTACCGATTATCGCAATTGTAATTTTTGGGATATTTGTAATAGTTCTCTATTACATTATCATTTGTGTTATTTCATACAGCAACTGCGATTTTAATTTCATGAAATTATGCGTAAACCTTTTTAAAAACATAGCACAATTTAGATTTCACGTAAAATTGTTGGCAAAAAAAACAATTAAACATTAATATATGTGCTGCAAAAATTAATGCACAATGATATGTGTAAAATTAATCTGTTGTTTGTCGCGATAAATAAGTTTTACATATATTTTATGTTTTCTCTAATAAAGATGTGTCAATCAATTTTTCACTCTTAATTTTTTACATAAAGATGCAACCTAAAAAACATATTTTTATTTTTAATTTGTTATTTTTCCATTTTATGAAAATAAGTGTCACTCTATTAATCTAAAATTATTACAATTTTTTTTTTTTTACCTTTTCTTTTCATCATTATTTTTCACATTATTATACCTTTATTAGGCTTAAGACATGTTTTTCTCTTATTCCAAAAATGTCATTTTAGTTATGCAACGATAGTTTTTTAATTAGTAACATATATGCTGCATTTGCTAAAGAACAATGAAGATCAAAACCTTTACACGTAAAAACTTTATTTAATAAATAGTAGTGTGTTTTTCTTTTATATATTTTCATACATTCATATGATTCTCCATTTTAATAACTCAAAATATAATACTCATAATCCATTCATTTTTAGCATGAAGATGTATATATATTTTAGCGTTACCATACACCTTTACGTATTTTACGATACAGCTCATTTTACCCCTCTTACAAAATTTTGCATTTTTGTGCTTCTACTTATGAGTTACCCCCTTTCATCTTTTTAAAAAAAAAAAAAAAAAAAAAAAAATTAAATCAATTCTTAGCCTATAAATCCAATGCATTTGCTCCTCTTTCTCATCTATCAAATAATAATATTATTTAAAAATAGAAAAAAGAATTTTCATTTAAAGTTTTGCGGTCTAACAGTTGCTTCGTTATATAGATTTGTTCTATTTTATAAAACATGCACGATTAGCGCAAATTTTGACCGTAATCCAACATTAACATACAAATAAATAATTTAAAGGTGGTTAATTTTTTTGGAATCATCTTTTGTGCTCCTTACCAATGAATCCAAATTTTTTAACATTTCGTGCGTTATGCGAATATATATATTTTCATCAAAGTCAATTTTTTAAAAATATAGAAGGTATACAGAAACATCACATATATTAAGGAACAGAAACAAAATTAATGATTAAATAATTAAATATATTATATAAGGTTAGCTCTTTTCTTATTCAATCATTTAGTATTTCAATAATATATATATATATATATATATATATATATATATAACTATAAATTTTTAATAACAGGATATAGCTTGTTAGAAATTTATGCCTCCAAAAAATTCATAGAATTGAACATAATTTTAAAAAAAAGCTATATGAATTGCATCTTTTCATCTATTAACCTAGTCTTTTTTTCAAATTGCATGAACATGCAGTAATAATAATTAAAAGGAAGTAAATATAGTAGTGCAACTAATTTTATCATTAATCTGGATACAACACAAAATACTACCTTTTTTTTTTAAAGCTTCTTTCTGTTTTATTTTTTTTTCTTTTCTTACTTAAAAATAATTTTTAATTCAAGAATAAGAAAAATTTATTAAAAAAGTATTTTTTATAATATTTATTATTTGTCTCGCGCTAAAAAAAAAAAAACCCATTTTGCTTAGAGATTGATTCTAATTTGTAAAGAGAGCAATTAATTTTTTTTTGAAAAAAATATTACAACGATATAAAACACATATTCCATAATTTTTTTTCTTTACTTGAATATTTTTTTACTCATCATAGGTCATTTTTGCGCAAGCAAATTAATTAAAAAATTGCTGGTTACACCATATTCTTTCATAATTTTTGTTTTCAATTGTGCCATATATATATATTTCATACTTATTACGTCTCATTGCAGTACAAACAAATTAGAAACAATTCGAATTCAAGCTTATTGATTATATGTAGTATAAAAATTAAGTATAGCGAAACTTGTAGAGCATTTATTTTATTTCTTTTCACACTAAACAAGTTTTTTGTTTTTTTTTAACTAATTAAAAATATGGCATCACCTGAAGTATTAGAGTACTTTCTTGGAACAGAAGAAGTTGTCCCAACTATAAAGCAGTATTATAGTGACATTTTTTCAAAGAAAAATGCGAATTTACTTATGTCAGCTGCATCTAGCGCCTTGCTGTATTTATCTTCTGGTCCTGTTTTTCCTAATTGTTTGCCTTCGGTATAATTGATAAAGAAAATAAAAAAATAAAAAAAACATATATATATATATATATATATATATATATAAACATTTTTTATTTTTGTTAACAATTTTAATTAGTATAAGAAAATAAAAGTATTAATCGTAGCAGTAACCGAAATAGATATATTAGTAAGTTATAATAATAAATACTTTTCTAATTCTATTAAATTTTTTTTAGACGCCATTGTGTAGCATACTTGGTGATGCTCTAAACACATCGAATGAAATTGCAGCCATTAACACACCAATGATGGAAAAATTGAGAGACAATAAATGGAATGAATGGATGAATCAACTAGAAGAACAATGGAAAAATTTTCATGATCAGATTGAAAACGAAAGGAGACAATGGCTCGAAAAAAAGGATAATGAATGGGATGAATGGAAAAAAAAAATGGAAGTAAATTACACGAATTATTGCAAGGATATAGATAATGAGTTCGAGTCTAATTCTTTAAAAGATTCTGAAAAATGGGATAGTACTCAATGGGAAGACTGGATTAGAACAGTAGGGAGAAAAATGATTGAAGGTGAATATGAAAATTGGGTTCATAAAAATGAAAAATATTTAGATAAATGGATTGTGACAGAATGGTTTGGATGGAAAAAAAACAAAATATCATCATGGTTGTCATCCGAATGGAAATGTAAGGAAAATGAATCTTGGTCACAATGGGAAGAAACTCCTTTAGCCAAATTGCTATTTATAGAAGATAGAAAAAAATGGACAGCATGGAAGGAAAGAATTCTTAAAGAAAAGGATGAATGGAATAAATGGGTCGATCAAAAAGAATATGCATATATAAATAATGAGTGGAATCCATGGAAAAAATGGAAAAACAAAAATCGTCTTTCCTTTAAAAAATGGATTGGATCCTTTATAGATGAATGGATAAGCAACAAACAGTGGAATGAGTTGCTACAAGAAAGGAAAAAATTTGTTATCGCCAAAAAATCGTTTCAATTAATATATAACCTAACAAATTAATGAATATTCATTATTATATTTCCCCATTAAAGACAATTTCCAAAATAATGAACTCCAAACTACATGTGCGGCAAATTCTAGAGAACAAAATAAAAAAAAAAAAAAAAAAGCATAGAGAATATTTCCTTTTTTTTTACTCAAAAAATGTGATAAACTGATCCATCCCCTCTATTCCCCTTATATAGTGATCTTATATTTTATTGGGATATTTATTATATATATATATATAACCTCTCAAAAATGAAAGAAATCGCCTTTTTTAATCTACTTCCAAGAAAAAATAAAGTTGTACAATACCATTTTGTTCTATAAATATCTTTATTGTGAAAAAATTAAAGCATGTACATGTACACTAAGTTGAATAAGAAATTAATGTTGTCCTATAATATAATGTAGTCTAATATGTTGTAATATAACACATGATGCATAAAAAATGCAGTTCGTGACTTTAAGCATAAAAAGAAACATTGTAAATTTTTATAGAATTTGGATACTTTATTTTTTATCTTCATTATATATTCATCATTTTACTAAAACAGTTTTATATTTTTTTTTATTTTATTATTATTTTTATTTTTTCGCATACAAAGTATCATTACGAATTTAGACACGATCTGCATTTTTTCATGTAAGTCGATGAAACCACTATTTCACATAGAAATTTTGCAAAATTGCACACCTTTTTGTACATAAAATTTATAATTTTTGCACCTCATTTTTATTGTTTTACATATACTAGTAAGGTGAATTTATGAAATACCATTTGCATTATTTTATCTTTTCTCCTTTAAAAACAAACAATTACAACAAATTGTATTTCGAATTTTAAAACTTATAGTCATGTAGGATTATGCTTTTTCAGCATATATATTCCTTGTTAAATATATAATGTAAACCTCTTTTGGAGTTTTCATAAACATTAAAACTGTTTATTTTAAGTATGAAATGTCTATAACGTACTTAGCATTTGTACATATAAGCTTATTATTAATCCCTTCACTAGGCCTAATCTTAATTTTTTTTTTTTTTTTTAAGCTTTCAGATGCCTTTTCCCTTCCACATTTATATAAATACATAAAAATAAAATAATTGCAGTTCCACAACATTGCGACTTATGTATCACATATAGTAAACACAACTGCAATTGTATTTGATCTACATCTTTTAAGATATTCCATATATAAGCGATTAAACTAAAATATGCTTAATATTAATTCGTAAAACACGGAAAAACATATAGAATTTTTTTTTTTTTCTTTTTTTATATTATTCATTGTAAATAATTACTTAAAAGAAAAAAAATAGGGGAAATTAAAAAAGAATCATTTCACTGTGCCAGCTGAAAAATTTTAATCATTGGCATGTTAAAATATTATTTTTCATTAAGGAGAAAAATACTTGTTTCTTTTTTAAATAATACTATGTAAACGTTCTACAAAGAGAGAGAATTTTGTGCTATAGCAATGAAAGAAAACGTAAACAATTTTATTTTTACTTTTTTTTTTTTTTTTCGTACATGCATAAATATACACAAGTACATCTATTTTTCTTTTTTCGATATGTTCATGTATATTATATATTTATTTATTCATATCTTTTTTATTTAAATGTGCAATATATGATGTTTTGTTCTGCTAGTAGTTAATTTTTATTACAATATTAACTATCTAGGCACGAGTAAAAAAAAAAAAAAAAAACGATTTCGTGAAAAATAGGTTCTGTAACTCTGTGAAAACAGTGTTCATAAAAATTATACTTTATTTATATGTTGACAAATCTTGTAGAAACAATAAAAATGTTATAGAATATTACATTTTGAAAAAATTATATATGTACATATAATGCATATATACACATTTGTTTGCATTTCTCTTCTTTGCATAATATGATATTTTTTACAAATGAAAAAAGTCAGCTGCATGCTACAGCATTTGTTTCAAATGCATGAAATTACATAATTAACGCGAATAAATATATTTGTCAAAATAATTGTTAGTACATATCTATATATATATATATATATTCTTCTATAAAGCAAACACCTAAAATGGAATTTTTGGCTTCTTCATACAATTATCATTTGTCATATTTTTTTTTTTTTTTGAATTTTTATATAAAGCATATATAACAATTAAGATATACTGGTACTTATGTTCTATGAAGAACAATTTTTGTATGATTCATAGCACATTTATTATTTTTTTTTTTTTTTTTTTTTTTTGTCGTTTTGCGGGAAATTTAGAAATACCGAAAGATTCCAAAAAATAAAGGAAAATTAATTATTCATATTATAAATGTTTTTTAAAGAACCCCTTTTACGGAAAATTACCGAATTTTCCTTTTACGAGGATCAAAACAAATATGAAGATATCTAGTTTTATGTATCATTTTACCCAAAATTTCTCATTTCATTAAAAATTATTAATAAATAATTAGACGTCATACATCAAAGGATTATCCATGGTTTCATGCTCACCTATAACCTTACATGTTTTATTTTCATTTCTTACTTTAAACCATGAATATGTGGTTAGATAAAAACAGCTAATAAGTATATATATACACATGTGCACAATTTTGTAACTATACATGGATCGATAGATATATTCCTACGCATGTACATAAAGGTGTGTATTTCAATATCTTTAGCAATATATCCCAATATACAATATATATACATATATATATTTTTTTTTTCTTCCTTTTTCTGAACTTCTTTAACATTGTGTAGACTCCAAATAACTTTTTTAGAAATAAGAATAAATCGTTGAAAAATTATATAGGAACAACGGAAAAATATATAGAAATACGAGAAAGTTGGAAACACACAGAGTGGATAAATTGGATGAATCAATTGGAAAAGGAGTGGAAAGACTTCAACTCCGTCCTAGTAAAAGAAAAAAAAAAATGCCTTGCAATAAAAGAACAAAAATGGAATAAATGGATCAACAATTTGGAAAAAAAATGGATGGACTATGACCAAGACATTATTAAAGAATGTAAATCAGATATATTCAAAAACTCTAAGTTATGGGATGAATCAGATTGGGTAATATGGATTGAAACTGAAGGAAAACAACATATGCAGAAAGACTGTGAGAATTGGATTAAACAAAATCGTTATTGTTTCAATGAGTGGATTATGAAGCAATGGGTAGAATGGAAAAATAAAAAAATAATGCAGTGGTTTATGAACTCTTGGAAATATGAAGAAGATGATTACTGGGAATCATGGGAACGCCGTGGATGTTTCGAAAAATGGTTGAATAAGGCAAAGAGAAAAAAGTGGGCTCTTTGGTGTCAAAGAAATGACCGAGAAACAGAACAGTGGAACAGATGGGTTAAGAGTAAAGAAGTTTTTTATAAAAATTACGTGATTAGTAAATCTATGGAATGGGAAAACGAAAAGCGTATGCTTTTTGATCATTGGATGAAATACTTTATTAGTAAGTGGATAGATAAAAAGCAGTGGCTTGTGTGGGTTAAGAAGAGACATAATGCAATTAACAAAATAAATGTTCCCATAAAAAAAAAAAAAAAAAAAAAAAACTAATTTTATGTAAAATAAATGAGAAATCCTAATCTCTATAATTTCGATACATAATCATATGCTGCATTCTGAATAAAGGACAAAAAAATGAGATGATAAAAAAAAATAAAATAAATAAATGTAAACAAATAAATTAAAATTATAGATTCATAAAAAGGACCATTTTCTTGTTTTCCGAAACAAAATTTGAAGATTTCATCTTTTTTAAAATTAAGAATATTACTTTTATTTATAGTAATGCGTGTATTATTTGTCTATTTATCATAATTTGATGCGTAAAATATCAGTAAACTACCCCGCAATATAATATGTCCTCATAGGACATAATTTGTTTTTAATGATGCACAATAAATGTTTGTGATTACTTAAAGCATTATATTTTAATGATTTCTTCTTTTTTTCATTGTCACTTTTTATTTTGCATATATTTTATGCATTCTTATTGGCATATATTATTTTAATGCTTTTATTAGTAATTTTATGAAAATTATTTGACATGCTTTTTACTACTAATGGTGTAAGTCAACACATAAGGCGTCAATACCATTTTTGTAAACAAAAAGCAAAAGATATTTTCTTTATGTCATTTCATTTTATTTTTTTTTTTTGTGTGTTAAAAATTGTAAAATTTGGGGTTTATAAAATCCAAAATTTTGCCATTACACACCTTTAGTTTGTTTTCATAAAATTGGAAGCATTAATTTAAATTTTTTATTAATATTTTCTTTTTAACAAAGTTTTCCTTTTTGTCAACTATACATCTGTATATATGTTATCCATATATGTAATATATATATGCACATTTTTTGTATGTAATAAGAACTAAAAGCAGTCTACTTTAAATTTCTCCCATGTATCTACTCACTTTTCGTTGTCACCACTTCATTTTATATTATATAAACTCGCAACATGGCGTTTATATTTATTATTATAATAATATAAATTATTTTATATTTTAAGGGGGAAAATGACAATTCCACGATGTTTCTAAATAATGCATTATCTCTGATGTTCGATTTCTTCATACATTCATGCAGCTATGGTACCATAACATCAAAGACATGATTTCAATACCTTTTAAAGTCGTAAAAGCTACCGCTTGTATTTTGTTTTAACGTCACTTATTTTATCTAAGCATTACACATGTTATTTATATATGCTTATATTTATCCCCTTTGTTTGTACATACGGATCCGTAAACACATATTTGAGAAGGCTAAGAATGATTCCATATTTAGAATTTAATTTGATTTTAATTCTTAGAACAAGTGTAAAATATATACCCCAGCACAAAATGACATTATCGAATAGTCAGACATAATTAACATATTAACAAAAAAGAGACTCTTACCATATAACTTTTTTTTTTTTTTTTTCAAAAATTTAATTACCACAGTATATTCTTAATATATGATATGGAAAAATCGCACACACTATTAATCATATTATGAAAAAATATATATGCGCCATTATATATTGTGTGCAATATAACATTAACAAAATATTTTACTTAATAAAATTTTCATCACATTACTTTTTGGTGAAACGTAACGCGGTTGTTCTTCTGTGGAGAAGAATTACTGTATGTATTACATAACCTCCCCCCAGCCACCAATTTACACTTTTGGCAAAGAAGAAAGGGTGTTGTTTTTTTCATTTTATTCCTCTCAGATAATATTATGTAGTTATGGAATATGATTATTTCCACATATTATATAAATAAACACTTTTCATGTAAAATGCAAAAGTGGCGTAAATTCCAAACATGCACTTTACATTTTCGTGTATTTAGCATCTATATCATACGTTATGGTACTATAAAACGCACTTGTTATTATTTATTTCTTTTCCTTTTAAACATTAGTAGACAAGACTTCTACGTTTATTGATTTCTGTTTTTTTTTTTTTTTTTTTTTTTTTTTTTTTTACAATCTTTTTATTTATTATCATATTGTCTTAAAAAATTCGTTCATTTTTGTTTTTTCATGCAACATTTTGTTTCTTCACAATATATATACTGTATTTTAATATTCTCTTAACATTTTCAGAATTTTTTCACAAAATTCCTTTGTTTATTACATGTTTGGAGTTTATCTATTTTATATTTTGTACTAATGAGTTGTGAGGAAAATCTACAATGGTAACAAATGTTATTTCATTCATTAAAATCGTTTATCTTAAGCAAACTGGTACATAATCTGAATCATTTATTTGATGTATTAAATTTCACGTTTTAAAAATCATACAATTTATAATATCATTATATATATTACTATCAATGTGTTGTAATATTTATAAGAAAATAAAAAAAAACGTATATCATACATTCATTGAAATCCCACTTATTCCATTATTTCATTTTAATAATGTTTTAAGAGTGATTAGACTTTCGTGATCTAACAATTCTAGGGTCCATTAAAATAATCCCACCATTAGCATTCACCTTAATCTTTGTGTTAGCGTATAAGATTTATCCCATCAAACAGGTGAACATAAATATAAGCAAAAATAAAATTATTTTTAAAAAAATGCACGATATAAGAAAAGTTATGTATTGTAAAATGCTAACATAGAATCAAATGCTGCAGTTCCTATGTCCTTAGGACAAGAATAAAGATTTGTTAAAAATGCATAATTTAAAAAAAAAAAAAAAATAGAACAACAAGTAATAAAATGAACAATGAATAATAAATTCAGTAATGTTTTGTTTTCCTTTTTTTCTCATTATTTGGACATTTTGTATTAACGAAATCGCTAAAATATATATTTACATGTATATTTGTTTAATTCTTTTTAAATAAATATTTCAACACTATAAATTTCTTTTTTTCATGATTTCTGTTAACGAAGTTACCAAAATGTATTTCTACACTCATGTTTATTTCATTTTATTTGACAAATATTCCAATATAGATTTTTTTTTTTTTCTTTTTTTTGTAATTTCTGTTAACGAAGCTCCTGAAATATATTTATACATGCATATTTATTTTGTTTTTTTTAACAAATATTGGGGCTTATATTTTTTTTTTTTTAGGTACTAAAAATGCATTATTCTAATAATTCTAAATTAAATAAAATAAAACGGCTGCAAATATAACGCGAATATGTACATTTTTTAAAATTCAATACAGGAAATCTTCAAATTGTAAATAATTATAATTAATATATTCATTATTTTCAGCAAATGTTATACTTTCAAATAAGTGTTAAAATAATTATATTTATTAGATGATCCATCAAATAGAACAAGTATTGCAGCATATAGAACAATCCATTAAACCAACTTGTGCATGCATTAAATATATACACTTTTTTTCTTAAATAAGAACAAAAATAACATCAGTTATAAACGTTTTACGTTTAAATGATTAACCTTGACTTAATCTAAGAAAACGAAATTTATGTAAGGAAATACAGATTATTTAAAAAAAAATATTAAAATTACAGTCAATCATTATGAATAAAGGTTTTTCCAAACATACAATTTTTTTCTTTTGTTACGTATTAGGAATTTTTAATACTATTTCTTTAAACTTTATTCTATATATGTTGTACATATAATTCTTGTGCAACATTTAATAAATGCATAATTGATTTATCTTTTTCCTTTCCTTTCGTTTTTTTTTTTTTTTTTTCTCATTATTATATATTAATTTTATATATATTTTTCCTATTATTTTATAATTCCTATTTCAAATGATACTTTATCGTTCATCGACATCAAGAAAACTGAAAGTGTTGTGATTACTGACACAAAGCATTATTAAAATATGTACACTTGAGTATAAATACATGTAAATAGGTTATTACATACTAGTTTATGTTATCTGCAGGACACACTTTGGTTTTTTTTTTTTATATTTAAAATTTTTTAACTTGTTAAACAGTTATATGAAACATGGAATTAAAGAAGAACAATAAATTATTGACACACAACAGTTCATCCACTGGAATCACATCAAATGCAAATAGGAACCATAAAATGTCTAATAAAGTTTCAACCCCACTCATTTTACATTTATCTATTGCTATATTTGTTTTAGCATGTGCACTTCTTGTAAACGTTGCTTCAGCGGTGAAAAAAAATTAAAATTAAAAATATATATTCAACAAACTCTATTCTAATTTATTTTTTTTTAATTAATGAGCACAAAAAAAGATATTACATTACTGCATAACCTATTTGTCCTCCTAAAAATATATATATATATTTTTTTTTTTTTGATGTTATTTAGGCCTCAGCTAGTAAACAAAATTCGAATAACTTTGTTTCACCGCTTTTAGTAGGATTTGGGGCATTAAGCGTCGAAGAGTCAGAAGAGTTCAAAAGAATGGCTTGGAACAATTGGATGTTGAGGCTAGAGGCTGAATGGAAAGAGTTACAGGAATCTATAGAAGAATTAAAAGAAAAATGCCTTGAAGAAAAAGAATCAGAATTTTCAGATTGGTTAAGTTCTTTACAAAATAAATGGTATCATTATAACAAAGCAATGCTTAAAGAGTATAAATGTAATGTTATGGAAAATTCATCGAACTGGAATGATGCTCAATGGGAAAATTGGGTAAAAAATGAAGGGTTAAAAATTATCGAAGAACAATGGAAAACATGGATTAAAAAACAGGATGAGCAGATAAGAGATTTAACCTTACATAAATGGATTCAATGGAAAAATGATAAAATTAGATCATGGTTATTATGTGAATGGAAATCCGAAGAAGATTTTTATTGGACAAATTGGGAACGTTCTTCAACAGCAAAATGGTTACAAGAAGCAGAAAAAGCACATTGGATGAAATGGAAAGAAAGAATTAATAGGGAATCTGAACAATGGGAAAACTGGGTTCAAATGAAAGAAAGTATTTACATCAATGAAAAATGGGCAAAATGGGCCCAATGGAAAAATAATAAAAAACATTTATTTAACAAATGGTCAGCTAGCCTTATTTATAAATGGACTTTGAAAAAACAATGGAAAGTTTGGATTAAGGAGGCAAATAATACTACTACCATGAATGATATTTAAAATACTGCACAACTATATAAATTAAGATAAGAAGAAATGAAAAATAGTTATCTTTTTTCCATGTCTTAATTTGCAAACAGCTCCATAAATTTCAAAAGTAGACAAAATGAAAATGTAAGGATGCCCTTAAAGCAAGCATTCTTAGGACCCGGAATTCTCATAAGCTTCACAAGCACACTTATCTTATGCTACATACATGCATACTTATTTTCCTTTATATTTCATACTTGTGTGAAATTTCCACAACATATAAATGTGACTAAACACCTATATGTGCGTATGAAAAAAAGAATCATTCTAGTCCAAAGGTTACATCCGTGATTACCATATTATAGAAATAAATTATAACAAATAGATTCCATATGAATGGAAATAAATCAAAAGTAATTCTTCAATTTTATAATAGAATTCCCTTGGAAACTATTCATATCATGCATTTCTATATATTTTTCTGTAGTTTCCTAAACCTATAAATTGCACGTCGTTTGTAATTTTTACACATTATCCAGTGCTATTCAATGTACTGTTTTCTTTAATTAATTCTCATAAATATGTTTTTCCCCTTTATTGTACACATTAATTTTATAATGCAGTTTAACTTTATTTAGCATTTTTTCCTTAGTAATGTAAATATATCATACTTCTAGTAAGTGCGTTATTTATTTGCATTATATGCTTTTCTTTGCCATTTCAAATGATGCTTTATAATGGTTTTTTTCATCTTTCCCTCTTTCTTATCTGAAATTTACATATATACCGTAGGTATATATACATATAGCATCTCTATTAAATAAATACTAGAAGAAACGCATATTCTAATTTTGTTATAATATGTAAAAACATAAAAAGGTATATAAAAATAAGTACCTTTTCATGTACATGCAAGTTATATACTTTTTACGCTATATGAAGGAACAGTTTATATGGGATAAATATATCACTTGCATACCCCTACAATGTCTTACTTATAGGACATGTGTTAAGTAAAAAAATTACTCTCATTTGTTTGCATAAAATATATAATTTCTCTAAGTCGATTGTACATTTAAGTCTATATTTAATGAAACACAAAATTGCGTTCCATCATTAATTTATGGTATTACCTCTAAAAATAAGGCCTGAAACAAATAATATTATGAAAATGTTTTAAAAAATTGCAAATATCTAAATTAGTGTGTGATTTTGTTTTACAACAATTTCGAGCCGAATAGAATAGTTCTATTCAATGTCTTTAAAATTATTAACCATTTAATTCTTGAACAAGTTAATTTTACATTTATATAAATAGTACTTTTTTGTAAGGATGCGTATGTTTGTGGGGTATGTTGGGGATATGTTTTTCTTTGTTTTCATCTTACGTATTATTTCTTAACATTTTACCATATTTAAAAACTCATAAAAACTCTTGCAAAAATATACTCGCGTTATTATTTAGTTACATTACACACAACTACATATATAAAAATTCGAGTGGACTTATAGCAATATAATCTCTTATCATTTTTCCAAAATAAAAGGTGAAGATTCCTTTGAACACAGAATTATAAAAAGTGCATAAAAAATGTTACTTCCCCAACTGTAAAATATGTAACATTAACACATACAAACCAAATCCATTTATCAAATCTAATGAACAAAAAAAAAAGTGAATATTACAAAAAAATATAAAATAATTTAATATATTATCACATACATTCAGCTGCATTAAAAAAAAAAAAAAAAAATCTTATGTGTTACCTTGTGTGTTTAACCGTCCCTACGCTTTATAATTTTGTTTAAGCAAACAGAAAATTCATCCTGTCGATAGAATGATAGAGAAAATTATTAAATGATTAAAAAATAAGTCAAACTTTTCCTCTTTTCTAACCTCTCCAAAAAAAAAAAAAAAATTTAATCGTGCACCTTTACAAAAAATGAAAATGGAATTATATGGTTATCCAAGAACTGTTCTCACAATAAACATTATTTGCAATTGCCATCTTACATAAAATATACACAAAATTATGTATAATTAAAATGAAATATTTTTAATTCTTATTATGGATTTTTTAGATAATTTTTTTTTTTAATATAATTATTATTTTAACTTCTACGCATGACTTTTTTTTTTATTCATATGATAAGGAGTACCTTTATCTTCTATAACGACAAATTAAGCAGTGTGCATAAGGTTTGATTCCAAAAAATAAAAATAAATGAAACACAATAAAAATATAATGTTATTTATAAAAGGTTTTATTTACTCCATGACTATGATAATTTGTTTTACTATTATAATGTATTTTCAAATCCGTTAATATTATAATAGAAAATTAAAATATATATTAATATATCAAGAAAACCATTTGAACAAATTGTGCATATTTACTTATGAGAAGGATTGTACTTGCTATTTTCATTTTTTATCATATTAGAATAAAATTTTCAATAGAAAAACAAATTCAGATTAACTTTTTCATACTAAATTCTACATGTTTGCAATATTAACTAGTCCACAAAAAATAAATAAATATTTGTATAGAATAATTTTATTTTTATACTCTGTGAGTTCAAATGAAAAAACAGAATTGTTCTGTTGCATAGATTAAAACTTTCTGTTCTTTCCGTTCTTAGATAATAATTTTAAAACATTCAAATCACGTTTTTTATAAATATGTAACATCTAAAAAAAATTTTTTTTTTTTATTTTAATTTTCTTGTAATTATATTTATTTTGCACTTTATACTTTTCCCTATTTGCATCTATCTCTGTGTAACTTTTTGGTGAGATAATGATTTTTAAGTTTTGTTAAATTAAACTGAAAATATAGAATATTTAATATATTGTATTATGGGAAATTTGTTTCACATCTAACATTTAGGCTTTATGGAGATATTATATTCTTCTTATAAGAGCTTTATAATCTTGTTAAAAATAAATTAAGCAAAGATGGAAAATATTAAGGATTTTCAGGAACTTACTACAAAAACATTGTCACTTCCTGTAATTAGAGAGACAGGCAGAGATTCTTTATTAAGCATTTATCAATCTTTTAATAAGGGAAATATATTCAATGGAATTGTTCTTGTTGTGTTTTTAATTTTTCTGTATTACTTATTTCAAGTAGGAAAAAGATAAGAACAAGTATACGTATATATATATGTATGTATAAATTTCTTTCCTTTTTTTGTCTAATTTTTATTCGAACTTTGTCAATATAGAAAAAAAAATTCCTTCAATTTTGCACCTCTCACTATTTTCTATACTTGTTAACATGCATGAACTGATTCTAAAATTTTATTCAGATTTTATCAACATTAGGAAATAAGGTCAAAAGACTTGCAAGGAATGCAATATCATTCAAAGAAGGAGAAAACGTAGATGTGGAAAAAGAGAGGAATGAATTAATGAATACAAGTGTGTATAAAACAAAAGGAAATGGAAAGGAAGAAAAAATTAATAATACGAAAAACGAACCTAGAAATAATAATGAGCAAAAGGAATCAAACCATGACAAAATTAAAGCGATCACCAGAATTTTCGAAAAAAAGGGGGTTAAATATAATACTAATATAGAAGGAAATGATAAAAGAATATTAAAACTAACAGAAATAAATATTGATAATTCAAAAAATAAAATAAATTTGCTACATAAAATAACAGAATCAAACAAAAAGGAAAAAATAAGGAATTTAATCAAGAAAATGAATCCGCTACAAATCATAGATCACAATGATCAAAATTCAAACGAAGAATTACACGAAGATAAATCAGATGAATGGAAAAATATGGAATGGAATAACTGGATGACGAAAACTGAAGATGAATGGAAAATTTTTAATACATCAATTGAAAATGAAAAAACGAGCTGGATTCAAGCAAATGAAAAAGAATGGGATGATTGGTTAGAATCTATACAAAATAAATGGATTTACTATAACGAAAATATGGACGAGGAACACAAAATCAATCTTTTGACGAAATCTTCAGAATGGGATGAAACTCAGTGGGTAGAATGGATTAAAACAGAATGTAAACAGTATATAGAACAAGAATGGAAAAAATGGCTTCGTCAAAAGGAATCCAATTTGGGCAACTGGGTTGTAAACAAATGGATTCAATGGAAAAATTCAAAGATTACTGAATGGTTAATGACTGACTGGAGAATTCAAGATGAAGCATCTTGTTCAAATTATGATTATAATAAAATTACAAACCTCTTGAAAAGAAAGGAGAGAAAAAAATGGAACATCTGTCGAGAAAGAATCAATAAAGAAAGGGAAGAGTGGAATGCTTGGGTTCAGTCAAAAGAGAATTTATATGTAAATACTAGATGGAGCAAATGGTCTAAATGGAAAAAAAACAAAAGTTTCGTACTTAGTAAGTTGGTGGAAATGTTTATTAATAAACTGATTATTGAGAAACAATGGACAAAATGGACTCAGACAGAATATAATTAAACATATCATAAACATATCCTTGGGTATAATTAATAAAATATAAATAATCACATGGTTATTATTTTTTCTTGGCCCATATTTTAAGGGCATTCCTTCGTATGTTATCCAATAACACAGTCCTAACAAAAATGAATGAATTGGGTAATAAAGACAAAGTACAAATATTGAAAACATATGCATATTCCTATTTATTTTATTAGTATTGTTTCGTTCATATAATTATTCAGAAACATTTGGTTTAATACTTAAGCAATAAATTTGTATTAACGTGAGACCAAAATCGGAAAGCAAAACAGAAGAAAACAAAACGAAAGATAACAATATGTGTAAATATCAGTAAACCGTAGCAAAATATGGTAGAACTAGTAATATTTTTAGAATAACAATGCTTAACAGGAATAAATCATATTTCATTGGAAATAACTGAAAGAATTGCTCTTCAAATAATTGTTCACACTACACATCTAAGCACATTTAAATGAAATCAATGCTTCTTATTTTTTTTTGTTCATTCTATACACACTATTTTTTAATGTTTTTATTTAATGTCTTCCAAATTCCATTTATTGAATAATTGTCCTTTTTTTTTAATTCAATAATATATAGCAAAAATGCATGAGCGAATTATATTCATTTTATATAACCTTGGTTATTTATATTTTATTTTATCCGCATAACTACGAATGTACTTATATATATATACAAATACCTGTAATAAACATAGTTTGTTTACACAGTGGGTATTATATTTACCTTTCCAAATAAGTTTAATAATAGAAAATTTTGTTCTCAGATAAATCTTACATGGATAGCATAGATCATAATATATATTTCATTTTCTTTAAAGGGAAAAATCAGATCTGCATTCATATAAATTTTATAATAAGGTTTTCTTAAAAATGAAAGACTATATATGATTTTCATGAATCAAAATCCATGTTACTATTCTGTTGTGAACCCTTTTATTTCTATGAATCTTATAACCCCATAAAAAAATTACACAAAAATGGTATTGTTCGTATAAAGGTTATTTCCTTTTTTCGTTAACTGCGAAATCTATATTTTTATTTCCCTTTCGTAATTATAAAAAATTATACATCTTATTTTTTAATTCATGTTAAAAGATACGTTTTTATACACCATGTTTCCTTATTTTATTTACTACCAAATGGCACGTAACAACTTGCATATTTATACCCCATTTATAAAAAGACGCTAAGGCATATTGTTCTTTTCTCCATGTTACATTTTTAATCATAAAAAATTTGGTCATTAAAATTACATTTTTACTTTTCCACCATTATATACTTAAAGAAGACGCGCGTAAAAATGTTTCTGCCCTTGTTCATTTATGTGAATGAAAAAGCTGCTATTTTTTTCGTTTTTTTTTTTTTTTTTTATTTTTTCTTGCCATTAGAATATTGCCATTTTTGTAATTAATTTAAACTATTATTTTTGTATGTACATGCAATGGTATATGTAACTACTACATAAAACATTTTATCTTTTATATTACATTAATACATATGACTAATATATGAACTAACTTATATTTAGAATACCTCTACGGGGACTGTGTTTAAAAACAGGCATAAAATTTTTTTTACTTTAATAATAATAAACCATGGAATTCGTTCTAAGATGATAAATATAAAACAAACGTATTTTGTAATTTTACTATTCATAAAATAAGTATATTTTTTTCTTCATATTTATTTTGTTATCCGCTTGTATTTTTTTTTTTTTTTTTTTTTTTTTTGCCACTTAAAATAAATTCTAATTGAACTTGTATTTTTAATTAAATCTTAAAAAAAAAAAAAAAAAAATGAATTAACCCTTAAAATAGATCATCCATTAAAATTTTACATTTTTCGTACTCTTTTTTTTGTTCTAAAAATACAAAATAAAATTTTTTTTTAAAATATAATTGAATATATTTTCGACATCTAGAAAAAGAAAATAGAAAATAATAAAAGGTACATAAAAGCATAAAAAAGTGATAATTACTACACTTTTCTACTTAAAAGATGTATAATTTTTTTTATTTTAATTTTTTTTTTTTTTTATATTTATGTAATAAATTAGAATTTAATAATTACATCTTAAATATTTACATGTTTAATAATTATATATTTAATCTAAATAAAATACTTAGAATTAGAAGTAAAATTGTAGGAATTGAAGCAGAATCTGAAAAATATTATTATGTATATTTTTTAAATTTTGTAAATAAACTGTACAATACAGTGCATCAATTTTTAATCTAATATTTTAAGAAGCATTAAAAGTAGAAAAAAATAATTTTTAAAAATAAAATTTTTATTATATATGTACTTTTTCTCATTATTATTTATTTATTGATATGTTTTTTCTTTTTTATGAAGAGAAAAAATAAATATGCATTTTACCATAAGAGGTTAATAGTTTATTAACCTTATGAAATTCTTAAAAAAAGGGATTTTATGTAAATTTTATGAGTTCCTTTTTTTTCTTCTATGTTAAGTGGTATATACATATTTAAATGCACATATAAATTATACTATTATTTATTAGAGAAAAATATTTAGATATAACATAAATTATATTGCATATTAAATATGTAGAATTTTATTTTTTTCTTTCCCATTTGAATTTAGTTTATGTGATATGTTACATTAAATTAATATGAAAATACAATAAAAGGGTTTTATTATTATTATTTTATTTTTTTTTTTTTTTTATAATTAACATTAGAGAAAATATTCTTTCCCTTTTTATTTTGTATTTTAAGGGTTTGATTTTTTTTTTTTTCCCTTTTTTCATTTTTTAAATAGTTATATATGTAAATTAAAAATGGTAAATTCTAACGAAACATGTATGTTAACAAGGAAATTCACATTTGATAATAAAGTTGATTCCCAGAATAATTTTGCAAATAGCTTAAATGGAGTAGAAAATGAACCTAAAAGAAAGGATGACAAAAAATTCAAATCACTCCGAAGTACACATGTTTTTTTACTAGCTATATTGTTTGTTCTATTTCAAGTAAGATATAAAATGTCTTATATTGTGCGTACATAATATTCATTTTATTCTATCTAACTTTGCTTTTTTTTCTTTTTATAATTAACATTTTCATTATTTCTTAAACGTATATTATAATGTCATTTACCTAAATGCATTATTATATGTATATATATATGCATACATTAACGCAATTTTTTTTTGTAGAATGGATATACATATGAAAATGGAGTACAAGGGAGGAATGAAGGGTCAAGACAATTGGGTTATTCGAAATTCTTTAAAGAGGGAGATAAAGATAATAATAATGTAAAAACAGATCGAACTGATGATCCTGATGAAGGGGAAAAAAGGAGGTCTCATCATAGGGGATCAAGAAATCAAATGCGACATCGTGAAGAATACACTCGGGATATGGATTCTTATGATCCTGCAAACAGAGGAGCCAGTGCGAGTATGCAAAGGGACATAGAAAACAGCAGAAGAAGAAATAGAAATAGAGATATGGAAATGGACATGGATGAGGAAAAGGGAGCAAGAAGAAGAAATAGAAATAGAGATATGGAAATGGACATGGATGAAGAGAAAGACAGAAGAAGAAATAGAAATAGAGATATGGAAATGGACATGGATGAGGAAAAGGGAGCAAGAAGAAGAAATAGAGATAGAGATATGGAAAGGGACATGGATGAGGAAAAGGGAGGAAGAAGAAGAAATAGAGATAGAGATATGGAGAGGGACATGGATGAGGAAAAGGGAGCAAGAAGAAGAAATAGAGATAGAGATATGGAAAGGGACATGGATGAGGAAAAGGGAGGAAGAAGAAGAAATAGAGATAGAGATATGGAAAGGGACATGGATGAGGAAAAAGGAAGAAGAAGAAATAGAAATAGAGGAGGCATAGATGGAGATGTAGACGGAGAAGATGGTAGAGGAATGGATCAAGACAGAAGGAAAAATAAAAATAGAGAAATGAATATGGAAGAAATGCCAAGAGAACTGGGCCGAGAAGTAGGAAGAATCATGGAAGGAGGCATGAATAGGGATAGAAGAAGAAATGATGATATCGAAAGAGAAGATGGTAGAGATATGAGTGGAGATAGAAAGATGAGAAAGGGTAGAGATATGGATGAATTGAGGAAAAGAGGAATGGACGAAGATATGGAAAGAGGTAAAAAGAGAAATAAAAATATGGAAATGAACGATCCTATGATGGATAAAAATAATAAATGTATGGATAAAAATCCAAAATCACCTAAAAATGCAATGTCTGCTGAAGCTGATGTGAAAAGTTTAGAAGGTTTGAATATTTCTGACCTTAAATTCAACGTTTCTGAAGCTGAAATAGCTCAACTAATAGATAAATTAGAAGAATATGTAAAGTTTAATGATATGTTCATATTATTTAACTATGTTAATAATAATGAGAAAACGAAATATATTAAAATGCAACTATCAATCCTTAGACTTTGTGAAAATTTATCAAAAACATATAAAGTACCACACTATTATAAAACTAGACAGTGGTCTAAAGCATTTCAAGGTATGTCAGATCAATTACTACACAATGAAAGAAAATCATATAACAAATTATGCTCGTTCCTCCAAAATGGAAACAGTTCTCATATAGCATTTGTTGAGTTCTTGAATGAGCTAATAGGAATATGGACTAGTTTTACAAAGGAAATGGAAAAATATTGGAAAGAATATTTAACAAATAAAATCAAAGTTTACTGGGATAATACAAATGTAGAAATGTAAGAAAATAGAGCTGTTATGAAATTTTATTTATTCAGATAAAAATAATTTGCAGACCTAGACACCATATGCATACATGTAGATTAAAAATTTTAGATAGAGATAACAATACGTGTGAAATAAGATGCATATATACATGTTTCTTTATGAATGATATAATATTACAGTTTATCCATTATACGTATACATGTTACATAAGGTTTTTGTATTCATATAAGCATTTGCAAAGGTTTGTAATCAAAATTTTTTGAAAAATATATATTTTAGTGATTAATGGCTAATTAATATATATATATATATGTACATATATATATATATTGTGAATATGTTATATGAATATTAAATATATATTCAATGTAATATTTTTTATTTTTATATCGTTTTTGTTTAATTTGAATGAAATGTTTATATTCATATGTATATAAAGCAAGAACTTATAAATTGTATTTACACTATTGTATTCTTTTTGTTCATACTGCACGACGCAAATATATTTTAAATGTTCAGTATGTACTTTTTATGTACATTTTCTTATATATATACATATGTATACATAATATCTATTAACACAGGCAAAAATTTAGATGTAATTATTTGAATTATTTATTTATTTTAAAATTTTCATGTGTGTTGTTTTAGTTTTTAGTTTTACATCACACAACAAAATATTGTATATACATTATAATACTTAACAATATAATTTATTTAATTATCATAAAAGGAATAATGATTTAAACGAAATATAATTGCTGTTAAGCTACACGGAATGTAAAAAATGTACGAGTAGTATGTAACATTCCCCCTCTTTGTGCATATAAAATTCACAAAGGGATAAGTCAAAGTTAGGGAATTATAATATCACACCAGCTTAGAAATAGTAGTGCACATGCTTGCAATTATGCAGTGTATATTTATTCGTTTATGCGTGCACAAAAAAGTTTCAATGGAAACAAAAAGCAAAAAAAATGCTACAACTGCTCATTGTTGGAAAGTGTGCTTTCATAATTTCATAATAAATGTTTCTTTAACGATGCGCAGTGTTAACTATATTGTATCAAGTAATCTTTTCCCCTAAATATTAGATATTGCCGCAAAACATTCAGAAAAAATCAAGGACTATTTTTATTTGCTCCTTCATTCATATTATTACGCAAAGTGTGCGTTTTAAGAATGCATTCATCTATATAATACATATATATATATATATATATATATATATATATATATATATATATATGTAGTGAAAGACAATATACATATCTACCCCGTTTAACGTTTCTTATTTTGCTTTGTTTTACATTTATTTTAAAGAAATAAATGCATAATTAAAATAAGGATAGAAGGGAAATGCTCATTTTAATCATATTTCAGATAAAAAGATAAATAGTTAATAAAAAGGCAAAAGTAATTTATTTTAAACATAAAAAAGTTAAAATAATTATCACACCTCAGTAGCAGAAGATATATACTCATTTAATAATTAAATTTCATCAAAATATGATTAATAAACAAAGTACAAATTAATGCAAAATAAATGAAAAATTGATAACCCATATGTTTCCAAAAAAAATGTATTAAAAATAGAAATATTGTAAAGATTAAGTAGCATGCTAACTAAATAACATCTAAGTGGTGACTAAAAAATACATTAATAAAATCACAAGGTTATTTACTGTTATTAAATATTATAATTTATGTTGAAAAAAATACATAAAATTTTTCAAATAAGCAAAAAAAAAAAACAAGAAAAAATATCCAACATCTGAAGACGAAATAAAAAAAATTTCTCGCGTAAAAATATATATATTTGTGAACAAATATGACATATTTATTAATTTATGGATTCAAATATGTATCACATCTTACGAAACAATAAAAAATAGCACACATGGTATATACTGCTAATAATTTCAAGAAAAAAATTTGTTTTTTAAAATATGAATATGCTCATATTTCGTGTGATATTGTTTTTTCTTTAAATCACAATCATCCTTAGCTATAAAAAGGCGCACAAAAAAAAAAAAATATATATATAAAAAGAAGCGATATCTTTTATTTTTAAGTAAATAAAATTGAAAATTACGAATGTTCCTAAAAAAGGATTTTTAATTAAAAATAATCCGGCCCCTTCCACAATCTCTGTTTTAAATAAATATTCTAAAAAAACCTCATAGGGTTTTCATCATTTTCTTCTTCTCTACATTTCCTAAATAGTTTATAGTATAATTTATTTTCATTCATTGAATCAATTTTGTCCATATAGGAATATAAAATTGATTTAATTTTCTCTTTTTCACTATTAGCGTCCTCAATAGAAGTATCAGTTAAATTTCTTTTTAAGTTTTCATTTAGTAGGCCATTATTAATTAAATTAGTATCAATTAATTCATCACTTAATACATTTTCATTTATTATGTCATCTTTTGTTATATCATCTTTAAATGTATTGTATGGTGTGTCTTCATATAATGATCTATTGGTCATTGAACCATGCATATTATTACCATTATTATATTTTATCGTATTGTCACATTTTTCCAAAAAATCCTGAACAAATTGAAATGCAAAAAAGGTTTAATGGTAAGATATTCATACCCTTTTTTAATGAATACAAATTTGGAATTGTTTTGACCATGTATAGCAGCCTACGGTATATCACCATATACCAGTGTATATAGAAGTATATAAACATATGGTTCATCATCATTTTGTTCTTTCAGCCATTTATTCACGTAGCTAAAAGTGGTGTTACAAATTAACACCTGTTTCATTTTCTTACCTTGCTGAATAATGGATTTGTCAACATCAATGCAGAAAGTATGAATATTTTATTTAAAAGAAAACTGTTTTTTTTTTTAGACTTATACTTTCTTAAAAAAGGCATCACATTTGAAGTCTTACTTTCTATGCATTCTAGCTTATTATTCGTGCAGCATGTAGTTATGTTTTTTGTGTTCTTATGATAATGTTTTTTCATCCTATATATACATATATATATACATTTTTTTTTTTTTTTTTTTTTTTTTTTTTGGTGGGTGAGAGGTTTATTCCTTTAAAAAATATATCTTCATAAAAGCAAAGTTTAATTTTACTTGTTCCTATGAATTGTTCCTAATACTATATATATATAAATATATATATTTTTTTCTTTACTAAGAATGAAGTTATTACAAAAAGAAAATATAATAATAAAATTCATTTATTATTCTTATTTGAACATTTAAATGTGGTACAAGTAGAATTGTGATGCGGAATCTAAAAAGAAAAATATATGCATATATATATATAACTTAAAAAAGTGCTTTAGAATTTCTCATTTTTTTTTTTTTTATCATGTTACCTAGCAGATGAAGAAAACAATAATTTTTATTAGAATCTTTATTACTGTTATATATTTATATTATATATTCATAAAAAGCTCAAATATTATATATACATATCTACAAATTAAATAATAAAGTTAGAACATATTCATGGATTTGTTATAAGATTTTTCTTAAGCAAAAATTTTAATTTAAACATTGAACGTTTACAAGAATGCAATAAAATTAAATAAAATTCGTTATATTTATTAATACATTTTTAAATATAGTTATACTTCCTTAATTTTAATTCTTTCATGCTCCATATAATTATAAATTGTTTTCTCTTATTCAGAAAAAAATTTTAAAAGAGTTATTCCAAAATATAAATTTTGAATATTTTTGAAGAAAACCCTAGATCACCACAAAAAAACAAAATTTCATAAGACGAATTGTGGTGTACTCATAGTTCATATTGTAATGTTTATAATGTGAAACTTTTGGTTTTAACTCACAGACACGTACATATTTATTGGGCCATTTTCCCGAAATGCATTGCCCTTTTTGATATATATATATATATATATTTTAATAGGTTATTCATTTATAATGGAAAAGGTTCGTAATAGCAAAACGCGTATATACTAGTCTTGTATGTTATGCAATATCCATGCACTCCGTATTTTTGGTATCATGATGTGTAAAAAAAAAAAAAAAAAGGTCTCTTAAATTTTTTACACTGCTTTTTATAACTTTATGTAATTGTACATATATTTATATACACACAAGTATACTTTTAATGAGCATTTAAACCTTCTTAATTTCTTTATTCCGTGTCATTATATTTTGTTATAAGAATTCGTACGAAAGTAATTTAATCTACTGTTGTATATTTTATTAATTAGATGACTTATTCACAAAATGTAATCTTTGTACCTTTATAATTTTAAATTAATTCCTTGTTTTACCGTATAGATATTTCTTTTATTTTTCTTGGATTATGCAAATTCATTTTCCCACCTGCTAACTCGATTTACACTTTAATTGTCTTTCTCACGAAAGCATTTTATCCCGTGTATTTAAAAAGTTCATATCTGCAATGCTGACAACATGTAATTCCTTAAGCAAATATTTTCTACTAATTATATATCCCACACTATCTTGACATATTTAAATGCATCTTTACATGTAACAAAGTGAATTTATGTATTCTTTTCAGTCAACACATTCAGCCTACCTAATTGGTCATATATATATTATTTGTACATGTTAGCACATACTTTATTTTATGTTATGTATAAAGCACTTTCTAAGAATGTGTTCTTATGTCGACATGGACACATCTAATAATATGTAATGATGAATATTAATTTATAATGACCTAAAATGACATAATTTAGGACGTTAATGTCTTTTTTTTTTTTTTTTTTCTATGGATTGATATTCGTACGCAACAGCTAATGCTACAATGAATTAAAAGCAAAAAAAGGGAATTTAATTCCTTCTTTATTTTTACATTTTATCTTTTTTATAATAAAGCAACGTTTGCACTTTTGCGTATCTTAAGATAACGTTTTAATTGTTTAAAAATCCTGCAGTATCAACCGATGTAAGTAATTTAGGTAAACACTTTTTCATTTTATATTAATAATCCTAATTATTTCAATAGTTTAATTTATTTTATTAATCATTTTTTCCATTCACACTAGCAGCTGAAATGAGATAGAACAATTATAGCATTTGTTATGTATATATATATATATATATATATATATATATATATATACATGCATACGTTTCACCTTGTTAAAAGCTAATGCACAAAATAGCTGCATATGCCTGTACTTCCTACAAGTGTAAATAACTTAAATTAAGAAATACATAACTCACGAAGGATATTTAAAAAGTACCATACCTAGTATATTCGCGTGCACTACATATACTTAAACATATATGCATAAGTGCGATTATGAATATTTGGCAAAAAGGTGAACAAAATCAAACGAGTTTAAAACAAACTAGAAAATTCGTAATAAAATTTCCTATAACTAATTGTGTTTCAAATGTTTAACACGATTTCATAATAGAAATAGTGTTCCAAAAAATAAAGAAAAATAACTAAATTTTTATTTTTAGAATTAAAACAAAAGCAAAATAAAATAAACGAAAATGAAACAATAAGAAAACAAATATAAAGACACACAACCTTTCAATCTATCTCTTTCACAAAAAAATGGCCTTTGTAATAGAAAATATTAAATACTACGGATAAGTAAGAATATCCTCTCCATTTATTCGACTACGAGAAAAAAATAGACAAGTTATAGTTGCATGTATTATCTGATTACAGGGGGGGTTCTGTAACCAGAAAAAATAATTCTTAAAATTGTTCTGACAATACTAATTCACCTTCAGAATAAATCACACACCTATAGAAATGATTATAAACAAACAAAATAAATGTGTTATTTATTTGGAACTTTATATTTCAACGTATTTATTTAACGTTTTCTTCGATCCTTTTTCTGTTCATCATACTTTTACGAACGGTCTCTCATTTTATAACCAAAGTTTTCACATATAACATAGACTTATATAATCCCATAATATGAACGTAGCACATTTTAATCCATATCATTTTCATTATATGTCCTAAACTTGTTATCCATCATACTTTTCCATATGGTCTCAGTTCTTAATTTAAAATTTCCCCATGATTCTTTTTTGTGTTTTATAAAGTGCAAAAAATCCTCTCTATCATTTATTTCGTGCTTAACTAATTCCTTAAAATCTTTATAATCATTAACAGTCTTTCTCATTAATTCATCAGATGTGAAATCAACAATTCTTTTCCATTCGGTTAGTAAAACATCTTCTGGAATTTTATATTCAAATGCTAATAGTTCACACCAATTCCATAAATGTCTTTGCATAGCTTGGAATTTATTATTCTCAATTGTATTAAAATTGTTCCATAAATGAAGAAGTTCCTTGTAATCTATGGTTCCCCTTAACCTTCTAATTCTTTTATATAATTCTTCTTCTGATAACATTTTTCTCGATTCCGTGTCTGTATCTGTATCGGTATCTGAATCAGGAGATAGCAGATCGTCACCTTCGAAATCTATTAAATCTTCACTTTTCCTTTTCCTTGGAAATCCAAATTCAGAGAAATCTTTTCCGAAATTTAACATATCATTATCGTCATCATCCTCGTCCTCTTCTTCATCAGAATCTTCGTATTGTTCTTCTGATTCTCTATGTTTGTCCCCTGATTCTCCATAATGTCCTAATTCTGGTTGTGCAAACTGGTCTACATCTACTTCTAGATACTCTTCTATATCTGGCTGTACAAATTGAACTCTTTCTGATTCCGATTCGTCTTCAGATTGCTCTGATGCTTGATCCTCCGGTATTGCAACATAATAAGATTTATTATTACCAGAATTAGCATTAAAAGACCCACCCAAAATTGTTTCTAGTTCTTCATATCTACAACCACCACTCTCTTCTTTTTCTTCTACAATTGGAGAGTTCATAAATGTTTCCTTATTATTTTTTTTTCCTTCTCTTTTTTTAGTATTAGATCCTGATCGTCTATCCTCAAAGAATTCAGATAAATTTCTTCCATAACTATTTCTAAAATTTAATTCCAAAACTTCGTTTCCATTACCGTTGCATAAATCTGAAATCTGCAAATAGGAATTATAAAAAATGAAATGCATAAAAATGTGCGTTAACAAAAAAATCAAAAGAATAAATTGTTAAATTAGAGTCATCATCGGGAAAAATTAAAAAAAATTGGGATATATAAAAAGGAAACTAAAAAAATACAAGAGAGGGGTAAAACTAATATATATACATTCATTATAAAACATAATATAATTAGGTGTTATAATTATAGATCAATTTTTTTACTTGTAATATAACACAAATCATGATAAGTGGTAACACAGAGCATGGTTTAGCTGATAAAATATGTGATAATATGCTTCTTTTTTTACATTTTTTTGCTTGTGCATATAATACTGCGGATCTGAGGGAATGACCACGAATGCTGAGTTTGTTTTCATCTAATTGTTTTCTTAAAAAAAAAATTCTTACATTTTTAAAAAATTCCATATTTTTCTTTTCATATCTCAAAAGCGCAAAATAATAAATTTGGGATAAGGCATTTTAACTCACTAGTTTTCCCCTATACGTAAATAAAGATATATAGGGGGAAATAAACAAACAAATAGATATATATTAATGTATATATATTTATTACTGGGTAACTCAAATTATACAATATAATATGAACAATTTGAGGAAACAAATAAAAAAAAAATTCAAGAGAGAAATATTATTATAAATATTAAACAAAAAATAAAATAATGATCCCATATAAATAACTTTTCAACTTAAAATATTTATATGTTTTAAATATGCATTAAAAATCTAGTTCATCCTAACTAAAAAATCACATGAATTCTTTACAAAGGCGAAAACTAACTAAATAAAATAGTCCATCGTGCAGCGCTTCTTTTTTTTTTTTTTTTTTTTTCAATTTACTCTTTTTTCATTCGGCCAAAACTGTGAAAAAAAAATTTCTCACACCGTGAAAGCTTCTCTGCAGAAATTTATTTGCTTAGCAAGAATTTAGTTCTATAAAAAGCTTTACAAAAGTTGTATTAGAAAGCTTCAATTTTTTACTTGATTTTTTTTTTTTTTTTTTTTTCTAAATAATTTATATATGTATAAATTGTATACCTTCAACACCTGTAATCTTTTCACAATAATATTTTAAAAATTAGTGCTTTTTAAAAGATTAATAAAAAAAAAAAAACATCTTGGAACTCTAAAATAAACCCTTAAATGTTTGGATGTATATATATATTTATATACATGAAATGGTAATAAAATAGAAAGAGGAAGATTAAACATTCTGATTAATGTTCAAAAAAAAACATCTTTTCTAATTAAACTAACTTTTTAATAATAAATAGATGAAAAACTATAAACCATATAAATAAAAAACCATTGATTAGTAGTATTATTCTACTAATTAAATTTCCTCGAAAACACCTTATAAATGAGTAGTTAAGCCAAAGAAAGCAAGGGAAAGTTAAGGCCCCTTTATATAATATTTGTGTAATACATATATTTGTTCCTATTAATTTGTTTCGATTTATATTCATCTTGTAGCTAATATATAAAATTCTTATTTTTAATTATCCTTTAATTTTATTTTTTAATTATTCATCTTGTCCTTTTGATAGATTAACCTTCTTTTCTATTTTATTTTTTTCGTTCTTAAATTTTGGTTCACCCCTCAAAATGTTAAGGGTTTTTACATTTTAATTGCAAAATTTTTACTGATCTAATCATAAACACATATATATATATATATATATATTCATAAACTCATGTGCAAAATAAATCAATTAAAAGAAACACAAAGTTATTATGAATAGCTTTTTTCCCCTCTTTTTCTTCTGGCCCACGGCAATGCATGTATTTAAATAGAAAAATTTTAAATACGTGCTTCTCTTTAAGGAAACAAGTCTAATGAGAAAAGGATTCTACCTTGACTAAAAAACAAATGGTATCTATTAATATTTTTATAAAATAATAAAAAAAAAAATTTTCTTCATTGTACACAAAATTATAGTGATTAATTAAAACAATAATGGAAATAAAGAAAATATAAAAACTTCTTATGACCAATTCCTAAAAAGCTACATTTCAAAATTGTGACTATGGTATGGTCTGCTTGTTAATCATCACACATATTTCAGTGTAACAGTACTAAACAGTTGCACATAATTGTTAACTGCGTAAAAATATAATTCTTTTTATTTCCCCTATATATAAGTGTGAATATACGCATGTAAAGCAACCATTAGAGTAAATTCAGAATAGAACAAAACGTACGTTTCCCTTTCTCGCTATCACCCAGTTACACCGTATCTGACAATTTTACTAAGTGTTAAAAATTTGATATATGTATAAATATGAGAAATGATAAATCCCTAAAAAAAAAAAAAAAAAATTACACTTAAATACAAATGCTTATATATAATCAGCCGTGCGCTAAATCATTTTTCTTGTCAAAAATATCAATCCAATATCCATACACGCACATACAACTATATAAATAATAGTTAAACTAAGAATGCTACTTACTATTGGTGATATAAAACATCTTTCGCAAATTTGCACTTTGCACAATCTTATAAAGTGTGAATAGCATAAAAACCCACATTTTTCAAAAAAAGTAAAATTAAAATAAAGCTAGTTTCATTAAATATATTTTTTTTTTTTTTCCATATGAGAAACATATGTTACAGAACTTTTTTTCTTATCTACAAAATAAAAAACAGGACTTTATTGAAAAAGCTATCCATTGTAAAATGCAATACAAACTTAATAAATTTCTTTGGGTCAAATTTATATATTTATAATTTCACATAAATGGGGCTAAATTTTTAATCAGTATATTAGTTAAAGTTAACATATATAATAACAACAATAATATATTGACTGTAAGTAATGAATTATAATTTTTGCAACAATTGGGGGCCTGAACAATTGTGCAATAAAATAATAAATGTTAAGTAATTCTTATTGGGTTCAAATGATGACATAATAATTCTTTTTCCCTCTATTAAGTAATAATAAAATAAAAATAAGGCAGTATAAGTATACATAAATATACATAACTAATGATGAAACATAGATTGTTCTTTATTTTGGTAGAACAATTTTGTTCTGTGAAGAAAAAGAATTAATCTTCACAATTTTTGACATGCATATATAGTTAGTATGGCATTTAATGTAAATACCTTAAATTAAATCTTTTTGCATATTACGAACATGCTTCTATTTTTTATTGGTGCATTTAAAAAAAAAAATAATTCAGAAAAAAACAATATTTGTTTTTGAAATCTGTGATATTTTGGGCACAGTTCAATAGAAAAATTGCAGATATATATATATATATATGTGTATAAATATATATGCATGTTCACGATTCTTCATGCAATCCCCTAATGAACGAATTATTCATATAGTACTTATAAAAAGTATGTAGTGCACTTTGCAAATATATTTCACATGATCAATTCGATCATAAATTATAATTATAGAGTTGGTACATTTTCTTCGAATAACTAAAATATTTTGACTTTCTAAGGTTATACATAAAATTCTTATTGCCCGTTAATGTGCAAAATAATAGAAAAAATTGGAAAAACAGCACCTTCCTACAAACAATGATTTTAAAAGCGTATGCATTATTCTATTTTATTTTAATTATTCCAAGGTAAGCTAAAAATGCTTTCATCATTTAACATGCAGATGAATATATTATTTTCCCTCCATTAAAAAAAAAAAAAAACTCACACTTTTATGCTCAAGTGTGTTTAATAGGAACTTTTTGCAAAGATAAAAGAAAATATTTTTATATTTTTTCTCTAATATAGTTACACTATACGATGTACAGCGTATAACCAGGAAAATAATTTTTTCAAGAAACTCCTTAAAATAAGATCTAAAAATAATGATAATGCTACTGTGCATAAACCAATATATATTAACAGAAAAGAAGAAAAAGATAACAGGGAAGATAATTGGGAGCATGGCAATACGTATAACAACGAATTAGAAATTCACATAAGGGAAAATTTAAAAAATATTTTTAAAGATGATGCAAAGAATGATGGAAATCTGATATCAAGAAATAAACAGAAAGAAGAACAAAATTGGAAAAATAAAAGAACACTCAATGTCCAGTTAAAAACGAACTCAAAATACGATTTAAGAAGCCTATTAAATAAGGAAATACATGGGGTAGAAAAAAAAAGTCAACTCTTGCCACCTCGAAAACTGGGTTATAAAAGCATGAATATACAACAAATATGGAAACCAAAAAAAGAGGATTGCGAAATGTTACAGATCGAACCGACTGAAAAACCTGAAGAAGAGGAGTGGGAAATTATAGAGATGGAATCAATTGAAAAACCTGAGGAAGAGAATTATGAAATGGTAAAAATGGGGAAAATTAAAAAACCTGAGGAAGAGAATTATGAAATGGTAAAAATGGAGAAAATTAAAAAACCTGAGGAAGATAATTATGAAATGGTAGAAATGGAGAAAATTAAGAAGGTACATGAAAAGACACAAATCCAGACGCACTCGGTACTAAATGCTCTCAATTTCGAGGCCAAAATTGCAGCAGAATGGAAAGAGTTAGAAGATGCAGATAATAAAATTTGGACAGATGTAACAAATAAAACTCAAAAATTGTTAATGAATGCATTACAATCTGATTCCGATAAATCTACAAAAATGGAAAGTTGGAATAGTAAGCATAAATCATTTACTTTGATGCGTCGTGTTAAAAATAAAGCAGATACACATTGTTTAGACGATTTCAAGAATCATCTGTTTAATAAAATTAAGAAAAAAGAAAATGAAGAATCATGGATAGGGGAAAATGAAATGTGGGAAGTTCTAAAATATATTAAGAAAAAAAGTGATGCAGACTGGAATGAAAAACTAGTGAAATCATGGACACAATGGTTCCGCAGCGAAATACCAGAAATAAAATTTGAAATGTCTATGACCAAGGTTTAGCTAAACGTAGTTTGAGCGAATAAATATATGGATGCATAAAAAGGAAGATGCTAATAAAAAAAAAAAAAAAAAAAAAAAATTAAAATTTTCCAAGATACATCTGTATATATAAGTATATATAAAGGAAAGCGCTTGAACAATGGAGGCAAATGCTTTATCTAAATAAAAATATATTAATGTGGAATAATTAAAAAAAATGAAGAATGCACATTTTTTTTTTTTTTTTTTTTCTTTGTACACATTCAAACAAATGTTCACAAAAAAAAAAATGCAACAGTTAAAATGAAGAAAATCAATAACCGATTGCAGTAAATATATTTTTTCCTCATTGTTTAACTAAAAATTTCTAAGAATGCTGTTTTATAGCAAACATATGCTAATTTTTTCGAATACATATTGCCATACATATGAATATTATTAAATGAAAATTAAGAAGGAATATAATAAGTTTGAGGATTCTTTTCTTTTATTGGTTAGGACGTGATACATAAATATTCGTGTACTAAAAATATATATGTCGTTATCGCAAAAGTTAATTTTTTTTTTTTTTTTTTTTTTTCTTATTCCGATGCCTTCGCCGTTCTTCCAAGAAAAGGTGAACATTATGCAACGATGTTATACTACAATGTTGTAAGTTTCTTATATATATATTTTTTTTTTTTTAATTTTTCTTTTACCCGCAGTAACCTTTCATTTATTATTGTACGACAAGTGCTAAACTTCGTTGTGCTATAAATATTTGCATAATTTAGCCTTTTTTTTTAGTGTATTCTAATAAAAGAGTTGTAAAATGTGTATAAATAAAATATTAAACCTGTTGCATTTATATAACTTATTAATAAATTTGTGTTTGCAAATTATTTGATAAAACAAATATTTCACAGTCTTGTAGTCCCTTCGAAAAATGCACATGTTCACATGAGAATTAAAAGGGCCACTAAAACGATGAACTATTTTGTTCACATATATTTAAGTGTGGGGAAACAATTTTCAATGAACCTACCTACAGAATGCTTCTCAAAGAATTGTTTTAACATACGATTCTTATTAATAATTATGCACTTTCAACTAAACCATGTGTTTATAGGCACAATTATTTTCATATATAAATTTTTTTGAAATTATCTTTTCTAATTTCATTTCTATATTTTGTATGAACTTTTTCACCTCTTATTACATTGCTATAATTTTGTTCAGCTACCAGATATAGGTTCATAGGAATATTTCTTTTTTTTTCAGTATTTTTCAGCATGCAAATATGTACATGTATATACGCATGTGTGTGTGTAAAAACTGCACTGCAAATTTTATTTTTAATTGAAATAATACAAGTGTTTCATTTTCTTTAACAATCTGAGACCTACGAGAAAATAAAATTTCAACGTTTTGAATTTTCAATAAATTATTTGCATTTTGTCAAACACTAGAAGCCCCAAATTGGAAAAAAAAAAAAAAACCTTTATACATAATATCAACTCAAAATATGATAAATAATTATCATTAAGTGAACAAGTGAATTATGTTTGGTTATTCCAGCGTTGTAAAATAATCATATACGTATAAAACATCCACACATGCACTTATATTATATATATAAACAGTGTTATTTATATAGAGACTTTTTTTCTTCCATGTTTCAGATGAATTTTTTTTTTTTTTTTTCTGTTAAATGAAAAAAACTATTTGTATAAGTGATAACAATGAAGGTAATGGGTTGACAGGAAGTCAAATAACATTTCAAGGAATAGAATGGTTCTAAAGATGTCAAATAAATGTATGGGTTAATCTGCTTTTAACTGACAATTACCCACTTAAAAGAAATATATTTTTTTAAAAAAACATTTCTTATAAAATGTTTAAAATAATCAAAGGGATAATAAAATAAATACATATTGTGATGTATATAGAGTAAAGCAATTTTTTTTTTTTTTTTTACTTCTTTCAGAATCTATATTTCGTAAGAATCTCTATGAAGGTTGCAAATCCTGGAAAAGCGAAAAACTGTTATATTTATATAAAAAAGGGGATTCTTACTAAGCAATCAATCTATATATATAGTACATTATATAAACTATATATTTTTACATATTTGTTCGTGCTTATATTTATATGTGCTCCCAACTTTTTAAACATAGAACTTGACTCTTTTGACGAATATAACACGAATTTTATAGTATATATTTTAATGATTATTATTATTTGTGGGTAACTAATTTATATGTATTTTTTTTTGTTGTTGTATGGATCATCCCATTTTCATGCAAAAAAACAATTCTTTTTAAATGTCACCCAAAAAAAAGTACTAGAAGAGGGGGTGGGAAATTGTGGCAAATTCATTGTACAAAGGCCAAAGAAATATTATTATATGTATGGTTTCCGGGCTCCTAATGTCCAGTGTTCAGTGATTTTAAATAACAGAATTCAACGAACAATTACTACCATTTGCCGCCTATCAAGATTATATTTTTCTGTTTCTGTTTATGCTCATGGTAACAAAGTCCCTAATCATCCTGCTATACTACTAAATTAAATGGATACCTGCATCCCGCATCAAATTGTACATATATATATATATATATATATATATATATATATATAATCATAATCGCAACAACATTTTGTTCTAACGTCCATTTCGTTTATAAAAAAATAAAATATATAATAATTAGAGCAGAAAAAATATTATATATAAAAAAAACAGGAAACAAATGTTTTCTTTTCTTTCTTTTTTTTATATGATTTATTAACCACAAGAACTGGAATTTATATCAGTTTGGTTTTTAGATATATTTTTTTTATATAAAATTTTCATTTCTTCCTCCTCTTTTATTATTATTGTTATTAGCCACATTTAAGCCTAAATGAATATATATATATATTGAGTCAAAAATTCATTCGTGCGATTATTTTAATGTTATTTATAATAGTTAATTAGAATGAGAGTGCTTTTGACTATGTTATCCCAAGATGAAGTCATATATGCATAATAGAGGAAACATTTTACTATATATTAAGTTATCTAAGAAATTAATTTTTTTTTCGCAACATCCTTTATATTTTTTTTCGTCGTAAAATACAGGTGGTTTTATTATTTCGAAGCTAAAAAATTCGAAAACCATTCTATGCATTACATTTATGCGTAGTAATTGAGCCCTTAATATATGCATGCATGTACCGATTATGCAGTTGCAAATTCATAAATATTATATATATAGCATTTATTTTTATGATCTAGTCAATTCAAGAGAAATTCCTATACTCCTTCAGAATCTAGCATAAGAAAAAACAAGGAAAAAATGGAAGAACCTAATTAATATATTAAAAATCAAGCTTTGAAAAGCATTTATAAGAATGCATATTTAGATGCAAAATTTCATCTTTCATCCATCATTTTTAATAGCGAAAAGCCCTTAATTTTTTTTGTTAAACAAATTTCAATTGAAGCGAAAATAAATAATTATATGTATATATATATATATATATATATACATGTATTCGCGCAAACATATAGTGAGGGTATTTTTTGCAGTTATAGCCACCGTGTCATTTAATAGAAATGGCGCCACATGCAACCGTTTGCACGAGCTTGTTTCGCCCCTTTTTGTAGTTTTTAGTTTTTTTTTTTTTTTTTTTTCGTTTTTTCATATGCTTTTCATTTTGTATATTATTTTGTTTGGTTGCAAAAACAACATTTCCTTTTTGTCGCATAAAGAAGGAAAAATAGAAATGTTCAATGTGTAGAACTAAAACGCCTATAAATAACATTAAGTTCTACTCAGAATTTAGAAATTATATTCATATAAATTGATAAGAAAAAAAAAAAAAAAAAACATGGATTCAACTGAGAATGTTCCCCAGTGTGCTGTAAAAAATGTATTTACTTCATTTAGTCCAAAACCAAGTAGTTCTACCCTAGCAGCAAATTTAGATGAAAAATTTGCGTATTTGTTTGCTACTTTTGTTTTACCCCTTATATATTTTTTTTTAAATTATATATTCTCGGTAAGATAAGAAAAAGATCATTAATATTCATTTTAAGTATATATATTTATATATATATATGTGCATGTATATGTGTGCACACATGTATGCTCGTGCGAGTTCACAGATACGTTCGTGTTTTAGATAAAAATTGCAAATTTAAAATAAAGGGAGAAATACACTAAGAAAACAATAACATATATATGATTCAAACATTCTTCAATCACTTCTGAATTACACCGCTTTCGTTAAAACTGTCAGATCTTCAATAAGAGGTCAAATAGGTGCGCAATCGAATGGGTAAAACGAAAACAGGAAAATGATGAAAGTGAGGAGGATAGCGACGAATATTATGACACAAGTGAAGGCGAAGAAAACCCGAATGAAAAAGAATTTGAGGGAAAAGAAAAACACTTAAAAGAAGAGGGTACAAAAAATACAGGGAAACCAGTAATAGAAGAAGGTAAATGTATAAATAAGTCGGATTTAACAGGAATGCCAGAGGATGAAGATGAGTTAGAAGAATGGAAAAGCAACAAATGGAAGAAATTTATGAGTAATCTTGAAGACGAATGGCACCTTTTAAATTTGTGGATAGAGGGAGAAAAAAAAAAATGGATTGAGAGTAAGGACAAAGAATTAGAAAAATGGTTGAAAGAAATAGAAAACAATTTGATGCAATCAGATACCATAAAAAAAGAATATCAACATGAGTTTTTGAACAATTCTTTAGAAAATATTGATGAAGGTCAAATAAAAAAACAATTAAAAAGTGAAATAAAAAGCTATATATATAAAAACTGGAAATATTGGTTAGGAGAAAATGAGTCTCATTTACACACATGGCTAATAAAACAATGGACACAATGGAAAAAAAAACAATTACATAACTTTAAAATGAATGAATGGAAATATGAAGAAGACAAATACTGGAATGAATGGGAAAAAAACCAAACCATGAAATGGTTATATTTTAATGAGAACAGAAAATATAATATATGGAAAAATCGAATTGCTAACGAAAAAAAAGAATGGGATAATTGGGTAAAAATTAAGGAGGAATCAGTTATATACAATAAACATAAAAAATGGACTCAATGGATAAAACGAAAAAAACCTATTATTATTAAATGGATTGAATCAATTGCCGATAAATGTGTAGAAGATGAAAAATGGAGAACATTCATTAATGAAGAATATGATGAATTTACACAAGATGAGTATATGGAAATAAAAGAAATACCAAAGAAAAAAAATGTAATAAACAAATTTAAAAGTAAAAAAAAAGGTCTGAATTCCATTTTTGTAAATTATGAAAATAAACTCCCTGCAATAGAAGAATAAGAAAATGTTGCTCAAGAATAAAAAAACACAACAAAACATCGTATACAATTCAAAATTATTCTGAATAGTAGCCTACCTTGAGACGGATGTTGATTCTATGGCTTAGCACATTTCCAAAGAAAATAATTAGAAAAAAAAAAAAAAAAAAAAAAAAAAAAAAAAGGGTAACACATAAAATAATTAAAACTGGAGAAAATAAAAAATTTCCAAAAACACTCCGCATATATATATATTTGTATACCTATATTTATGTGTCATATAGGATAAGAATTATTCCATATGTCTTATTTTTAATATCTGGATTTCCAAAGGGTAATGTGATGGCAGCATAATTTTTAATATTGTGAAAATGTTCACTATTTTCCCTATGCAGTATTGGTGAGAAAACCCACTTATATCTATCTCTATACATACAATGTTGCAAAGGTGTAAATATGTAAAGTCACAATGTTATAATGCTACAACATTTCTTATTTGCGTTTGTATGCTGCCCGCGCATCTCCCCAATAACAAATTTACCTTATTTACTTTATGATGATGATTTTTTTTTTTTTTCATCGTGTAAGTAGATAATATCGAGTGCGCATTTTAACAGCATTCATCTCCTTTCTCTTTTAATTATACTTTTTGAAATATATATAATAGATCAACTTTTTTTCGTGATATAAATTTATATATTTTTATTTGACTTTTTCATTTAAGATACAAAAATGTGCAATTTGTCTTTTTCATTTAAAATACAAAAATGTGCAATTTGTCTTTTTCATTTAAAATACAAAAATGTGCAATTTGTCTTTTTCATTTAAAATACAAAAATGTATAATTTGTATTTTTCTTTTAATTTTGTAATTTTCTTTTAATTTGTATTTTTCTTTTTTTTTTGTATTTTTCTTTTAAATTATAAGTGTGCTATTTTTTCTTTTTTTTTTGTATTTTTCTTTTAAATTATAAGTGTGCTATTTTTTCTTTTTTTTTTTTTTATTTCTTACCGAAGTATAAAGCTATTATAAAAACGTCACACTTATGACATTTCAATCAGGCACTAAAAACGCATTTGAATGCTTAAAAAATAAATGTTTCCATAAATGACAATAGAATTTGTGATGTCAATTTCCCTTCATTCTAAAAATTATGTTCTTTCAAGTTACAAAGACACATCAAAAAGGGGAGTTGTTTTACTTATATTAAAACGATGCTGTAACAATATTTTCTATTTCCAGCACCTTTCTTAGGAGGAATCCTTATTTAACAATAATCTTCTTATAACATATTGTTTTAATTAAAAAATAAAATAATAATAATCACATTATTTACTAAAACCATAAAGTATACGAATCCGCGTCTTGTAAAAAAAAAAAAAAAAAAAAAAAAAAAGAATAATCTATATGATTTTTTCCATTAAATGATCTGATGCTATTAACTTTTTTTTTTTAAAGCGTAACTTTGGAAGGTATTTCTTTCCTACTATCAATAAAAAAGCATCTCTCTTTTTTATGATGTTAAAACCCATCTTCCTAGTTAATATTGTTTAAAAAAAGGAAAAAAAACATATTAAAATAGTGTGTACAAAAAAGTAAGCGCACTTTGGGAGATAGGAGGAATTTTTCTTAACCATTTAAAAAATAGAACATGTTTTTTTTTTTTTTTTTTTTCCCCACTTTCTCGTAATTATGAAAGTACTACTTATTTTTGATACTAAGTTATTTAAATATTTCCATTGATGCCATAATTATGTATTATCTATAGAATATAATGGGGCATTAAGTTAATATAGTTTATGTGCAATTTCTCATAGCTCTGACGAAAACATAACGTTAATGTGTCTCCTTCATTCGATAGTAACGTTGAATTAATAATAAAATAAATAAAAAAAAAGGTTCATAGCAATAATGCCAAAAAATGTATCCTCATTTTAAACATAATTAAATTGGTTAAAGTGGGATTAAAAACATTCACATGCATATATATGTACATGTGGGTGAATATATAGATATAGATCCATAAAATATGTGCTGAGCATTGATAAAGAAAATAACTATATATTAATGTATTCTTTATAAACTAAAATATATATATTTCAATAATTAGCGTTACACATAATATAAGAAAGGTAATAAAAAATATAAAAAAAAAAAAAAAAAAAAAAAAAAAAACAATAAAAATAATAATAATAAAAATAATAATAAAAATAGTAATAGCATCAGCAAAAGTAACGCAACAGTAATGGTAATAAAAACAATTGTGTTAAAACTGCAACAACAATTCTCTGGTCTCATTAAATTCACATGCGCTATTCTTGTAGATAACATTAGTTGTTTGTTCTCCCCATGGTGTAAAATATTGGGAGAAATATAAAATTTTATTCTAAAGCATCAAAAAAGAAGTTCTTTTTCCCTAAATTATTAATGTTCCATTTATCAAAAATTAATCCACTAAGCATGCTTTCTTCCTTCTGGAAAAGCTTAGAAATACCTTTTACGGCTATATCTGCTATGGTACGTAATGCTATTATAGTTAATAGTGTACCCAAGGTAAAGGTAGCTGTTTTATACTTTTTCTTTTTTCTGTTAACAATGCTCAATTGGTTGTCTTTTTCGTAAATTTCTCTTAAAAGCATTATACTGCGTGAATCGTTCATATCATCCCTATTGTTAATACCCGTTTGGATGTCATCTAAACGTTAAATTTAAGTATGCGTATGTATTCATATATAATATATAGTTTTGTAAAAAAACAAAATAAAAAATGAAATAGATTGTGAAACTAAAATAAACTCAGATAATGATCGCTCTTCACCAACAAAAAAAATGATATGAAAAAATTAAACCACAGGACAATATAATTGTGTGTATAAATATGAAAATCGTGTCACATATATGGTGGCATATGCACAAGTAATATACACATGTATATTATGTACTGGTATACATATCTTTATTTCATGTATATCGTATTTATATTATTATCTGTGTACGACACATGGTCACATTATTACATATAAAAGTGTTTTAATAATAAGATAACACATTCATACCTTTTTCTTTCTTATTATCTTTTTTCTTATTTTTTTCACTTATATCTTCATTTTTCTTTGGCGTTCCTTTTCCCACAGTAAATCTAGATTTCCAGATATCCTTATTTTTATTAATACTATTATCTCCCTTTATTACATCGCTAACGGTGATTAGGAGTAAAAGGTTAATGACAAATAAAATAGATAATTTACTCTTCATTTTATTATTTCCTCTTTTTATATTTAATGTATATAATATATATATATATATATTTATAAAATTCTTAAAAAATTTATTATCTGCTTATTATATATAAAAAAGTTAAAAATTATATGAATTATTTAGTTTTTTTTTTCTTTCTTTGTTTATTAAAGCGATAATAATAATTAAAATAAAAAACAACAAAAAAAATAAAATAAAATAAAATAAAAAAAAAAAATTTATTATATAATAAATAGCGTTCAATGGTAATTAGAATAAATAGAAATTAAGTATTAATTGAATGGGTAATAAATATAAAATACTAAATATGGAGTAAAACATATGCTAAATGTAAAATACAATTAATTAATATGCGCCAAGCAATACATGGTAAAAAAAAATTATAATACCATACGGGTGAATAAAGCATAAACATAAATGGCAATAAAATAATGATAAAAATTTTTTCCCTCGTAATAATGTATATACATAAATATATAAATATAATACTATTGCGCATTTACATATATATTCATGGTATTATGTTTATACATAAAAAATACATATTGTCAACATTTGTGTATGTTTTACATATATTTTTATATCCATATACTGAACTTTTTTTTCTCGATTCAATGTTGAAAATAAATTTTTTTATATTATTTCAAGTAAAAAAAGAAAAAAAATGTATATTAAAAGCTTTTGAAAATATGTCTAAGGGGAATAGTTCATTTTACTATTCTGCTATACTGCAAAAGAAATAAAAAATATTTTTTAAAAAAATTGGAAGAAAACGTTGGTTCAAATAATTAACTAATTCTAATTTTTCTTATTGGGAAAAGGGAAAAAAAAAAAAAAAATAATATAAATATTATAAACTTTTTATTATTCTTTTATTTTAATGAAAGCGCATAAAGAGGGAAAATAAATTATAAAATAATTATTCTTTTAAACTAATACAATTTTTCTAATATCTTTTTGCGTAATTTTTCAAAACATATTGTAATTTATGAGTAAACCCAAACCACACACATTTTTTTGCGTATTTCTTGCGCTTAACTATATTAGGAGACTTATTTTGTATTATATTTGAATGATTACATGTTATATTTTGGATGCCAAATAGGCGTGTGGTATTTTTTTATTTCAGTAGAGCGAATGAATAGTTAGTTTGCATGTGTATATATATATGTAATAATACATGCATATCAAAATTTTATAGGGATGATACTCAAAGAGCACGACGTATATAAATTCTGGTACATGTCCAGTATACACCACATATATCTATATTAATGTTGTAAATTAAAATAATATAATATATATAAAATATGTATAATTCATGAACAAAAAAGGAAAAAAAAAAAAAAAAACTATTAATTTTAACATGCGAGTCACATGATCCATAACTGTTTCTTTTTTTTCATTGTTTATCCCTATTTACGTACATCTAAAAATAATGACCCAAAAAGCTTATAAAAATGATGAATTTATTTAATAAGTATTTAAAACAATAAAAATAAAAAATAAAAAGTCGTATTTGTTTTTTTTCATAATTCTATGTTCGAAAGTTAAACACTAAAAAAAAAAACAATAGGTACATTTTTCTTATTTTAATGTGCAAAGCAAAAGAAAAGAACTTGTTTAGTATATTATTTCTTAATTCATTGTAATATATTTTTATAGTAGCACATTAAACAATGATCTAATTCCTCAGAACTATTCCAAATTTATTAGATATCGCTATTTCTTTTCTTTTTTTTTTTTTTTTTTTTGATCTTTATCATATTCCCCATATTATTCATTTTACATTTTATTATACACATTCGTTTTTTTCAACTTATTTAATATTTTAACATCTTTTAAGTATATTATTTTTTTTTTTTTTTCATCACTATAGAGGAATTCCAAAAGTGATAAACTGTCACACTGGTATTATAACATTATGTTGTTTTTAGCAATTGGATGTTAAGACCCCTCCTTATAAACACGTTCCTATGTTGTGTTATATATAGATGCATATATGAACACGTTTAAGTCCTAATGATTTGTAGAATACAAAGTGTGTGATATTTTTACTTGAGCTAATTAATATAGGTTCATACTGATAAATAGTGCAATGATAAGCTATTTTGCACATTATAAACAATAGCCCACTTTTATTTCTTTTGTAAAATAAGAATTCTGAATGTTTTTTTAATTAAGCATAATGTCTACGGACCTTACAATAAAATGAAACAAGCTTCACTTTACGAATATAAATTTTGAAATACTTTTTTTTTTTTTTTTTTTTTTTTTCTATATTCCATTTAAAAAGGTAAACTCTTCAAAAAGAACATGTGTATGTAAACAAAGAATGTCTCTGTTTAGTATATATACACATCTATATACGGGATTTATCTTTTTTTAATTTAAATATTTTTATTATTAAAACGGTACGTAACAACAAGTACTGTAAATGCAAATTATATTTTCCCTTCTATATTTCTATTTCTTAACCTTTAAAGAACAGCCGTAATTATAAGGCAATTTAGTTTATGCAATGTATGTTTTAGGGCACTTAGGTTTATAGACATACATATAAGAATATGCAAAAGAAACCCACATTAAATAAATGCGTTTGTGATTATGTGTTTTATTTTTTAAAAACAAGTTGTTCCCCTCTTCTCCCCTAATTGTCCTATGTACCTTTTTGTTCATAATAATATTAATTTTAAAAACAATGCAAGAAAAATATCATTCATGTGAGTGCGTAAATATATTTTTTGCTATGATATGTGAATAATAATTGGTACACATTTTATCAATGTTTTGCACGAATCTTGTTCAATGTTTTGTTCAATGCTTTGCCTATCATATTTCTTTTCAGAGGTTAGATGAAAAAAGATGCGCATGCAATTTTGTGTATGAAAAGTACAATACCTACGTGTTTTTAGAATTATTCATATGTAGAACTTCCTATGGCCCGTCCATACTAAAAATTGTAAGATATGTTTTAAACATAACCCGAATGGACACCTTTACGCATACATATAATACACACTACAAAAATGCTAGTTCATTTATTTATGTCTTGCAATGCAGATCGTGTAATTATTCACGCTAAAATACAATTTTAAGGGAATTATATATTACATCTATTAAATTAAAGTTACAACATAAATAGGCATGTCACACGAAAGATATAAAATACAAATATACGTAAAAATTATGACAAAAACATATGTCCTTTTTTCAACGTGGGAATAGTTGCAATCAATTATACACTTTGAAAAACTTTTTCCGTCTTTTTAATAAATCATATATATATATTATGATTTGGGGTAATTGGCAATTCTCTTTATCTATTGAATAATTAGTAAAAAGACAAAAAAAGAAAGTTCTTTTTCTTTTCATAATTTTCTCTGTATTTCTTTCCTTACACATATATATGTGATTTCCTTTTTTTTTTTTTTTATTTTTAGTTCCCTTTTATGCTTAAGTTTACAAAACAAATACTGATTGATAATTTTTTCATTTAATATAACATTATTTTAACTTATTTCACGTTTTGCAATATATACACATAGGTAAAATACATTATATGTTTATTCATTAGAAGTTTTAATGTGTAGGAGAAATTGAAAAAATACCTTAAAACATTCATAATAAATGGATAATAACGTTTAACTTAAATTTATTTTTTAAACCTTTTATATAGAAAACTAACATAATAATTATGAAATATTTTGTGATAACATTTAATAATGGGACTTCTTAATTAAACCCCCATCCCCGTTCCCAAAAGATTTCACACATTTCGTTTTTTTTACGTTCTTTCCGCTTAAACATAAATAATATGATTTAAATTCACTCAAAAAATCCGAAAAATTATCGTATTTATATATATCTAAAGAGCCATCTTTTTTAATCATATATATTGTCTGAATATTACTTAAACCGTAACTATTTATTTTTATACAAACTAAACTGGAAATAATTATTGCTCAAAAAAAAAAAAAAAAAAAAGGGTTCTTTTCCCATTTTTTGACTTAGTGAGCAACTGATGTAATAAATGTGCAAGGCAGGTAAAATTTTTTCAGAAGAAGCATTTTTTTTTTTTTTTCTCTCTTTTAATTATATAATATATATGCATTTCATAAACATCACATATATGTAAATATATATATGTAGCACCTAAGTTTATCTCATTAACTAGCTACTTGTTCGGTATAATAGAAAATAATTAGCACCCCATTCACACAACAATGATATTATGATCTCTCCAAAAACAATGAAAAAAAATGTATAAACTTTTCTTTCTATATATATGAATATGACAGAAAAAAAAAAAAAATGAAATATAAAAAGCAAAATTATTCGCATTGTTTTTCACTTTATTGTCCAATCTTATAAAATAAACGCATCTTGTGAAAACTTTTTATTCTATCCGTGTGTGCTGAAATTATATAGCTTTAATTTATAAATAACAAAAGTTATACATCGAACAAAAACACTAGAGTAAGATTTATTCTACTTTTTTTTTTTTTTTTTTTTTTTTTTATATTTATTATATTGTACTTAAGCTTTTTTCGTTTGTGCAATAAAAAATTGTATAAATTAATTATATACATAATATGGAATTATAAGTTCTACATGTGTAATTATACACCCATTTTTTTACTAAATTTTTGGGGATTCACATTATACACTTTTTTTTTATGTTATTTAAGAACACCTTTTTATTTTTAATGAATTTGTTTGTTTTTCTTTAAAGAAGAAAAAACACTAAAATGTTAAAAAATATATATATAAAATAAACATAAAAAAAATGAGGAAAAAATTATAAATAAATATAAAGGTATTATTTGTTGAAAATGCTTAAGCTGTTTTGCGCTCCTTAAATATGGTAAGATAGTTTCATTTCACTGAATGTTGTTATTGTTCACTGCTCACGGCTCACAGTGAAATAACAATGTTAAAAAATAAAAAACAAGAATTTTCAAAGAAAAGCTTTTTTTTCGTAGACTTAAAAACTTTTTCAGGAAAGTTTACGAAAAATGATAAGGTTTTTTTTGCTTTTTACTTTATCTCTCTTTATATATATATATATATATATATATATATATATATATATATATATATATAATCAGTGTGCAATGAACATGATTTTTTTTTTTTTTTATCTTTTTGGACCCATGTTTTCATAATCCATTCATAGATAATGAATATAAAAATATGTATATATGTCTTATAATACACTACAATATGCGCGCACAACACACAAAAACATGGTAACACCTTAAAATATTACCATTCACGAAACAGCTTTTTTCTGCCCTCATATATTATAAAATGAACCTGTTTAAAACTGTGAGCGTATTTATAAATATATAGTCCCATCATCAACCACATTTCTCTGCATTGTTGATCTTTTTTGAATTAATACTTTTTGATAAAGTTGTATAAAAAAAAAAGAAAAAAATTAAACATATATATATTTATTGGAAATATTTATTTTGATAAAAATTCCACATAGAAATATAATAGGAAGAGGTACGTAAAAATAAACACTCCTTTCTTTGCTGCTTTTTTTTATATATTTTTAAACAACACAAATAATAATGAACCAAACAAAAAATTATCACCACCACCCTCTTACACGTACTCATTCATTTATTATTTTGAAATATTAAAGGTTATTTAGCATGAAAAAAAATTTTTTTTTGTCATGTTTGAAAAAATATTTCTAAAGCGGTATGTGGTATGTACAAAATGAGATATTAAAGCATTACTGAATTAAAAAAATCCCATTATTTAAATACACTACATACTTTCTTGGTGTCACGTTGCAACATCTATATTACATATGTGGTTTCAATACAATGCATAATTTCTTAAGCAATTACATGCAAAAGACTTTTTCTCCTTATAAAGGGAAAATGCAAAACTCAGACACACGTGAAAACACAAATATATATTCATGTAAAATAAATATGTTATATGTATAATTTGCTTGATTTTCTTTAAAACAAAAATTAGACCACATAAATTTCACTCAAACATAAGTAAAAATATGTGCCCTCAACTACAACATATATATATATATATATGTATACATTTATATATAACATGTAAATTATCATAATTTTTAATGAAAAAAACAATGAATTGTTTTTGCATGTTGCATTTATTTTTATATATGTTCACCATAGTAAAAAATATAATTGCAACTGAGTTTTGATTTGTCCGTCCACTCAATATACTTGCGTTATAAATAATGCATTTAAAATATGAACCCACAAATATAATATTTAATAAACATAATTAGCGGCACGGTTCTTTTTTACACAGAAAAAAATAACACATTTTGTGCATGTAAAAATAATATCACGTTTTTAAAGCATAATAAAAAAAATATGGAATTTTTTTTATACTCCCATCCTCAACCTCAACATTGAAGCAAAAACAACGTTGCGTTATATACACAGTATAACACATGTATACATATAATGTAACATATTTAACAAGTATTTAAATGTCACATTTGTGAATTAACTTACGTTTTATAAAGACCGAAGAACAGAGAGGTGGGGGAAATCTTGTGTTGTATATATATATATATATATTATGTGACCGTTAAATTAAACAGCTAATTTTTTGTTCTTAATTTTTAATGCTTAATTTTTCTTATCCATTTTTACCGTTTTTGAAATGCATATATTATATATATGAGCTATCTTACCAGTTGTGTTTTGTACAGTGATATATATATGTACCTATGCATTATTATATACACAACCCATTATATATTATAAAAAAAAAGGCTAATAACCAAATATACCAAAAAAAAATAAAAATAAAAGATTAAAGCCTTAATTTTTTTTAAAGAATTGCACAAGCAACAATATGCGCATAAATAAAATTATTCATATGTCATGATTTTATATATTTTCTTGTTCTCCTCACATGCACACAACATCATGATATAGAGTGTCTCAAATTCACTCATATGTAAAAAAAAGCATTCCGATTTTGTAGTATTATTTGTATGTATATATATTTCTTCATATTTACACCTAATATAACATATTATATTTAGCAATATTTTAATGTATTCAAATATATATATATACGTGCATAACTAAAAAAAGTACTCATTATATTTTGTAATTTACATATATATAAAAAGTTACACCATTGTTTTTAATTTTTACATGAATAAAGGGGGAAAAAAAAATCAAAATGAAAGTGCAGTGCAAAAATTATTACTATCTTCTTAGCGTTCTATTTTTTATAAATGAATTTCAGCTGTGCTTATCGCATGAAATGGAGCAAATCCCCAGTGAGTTTCCATTCTTAAAACTTGGTGATTATACTCCCTCCTTACAGGAGTTATTCGGATCTAGTATTGAAGAAGTTCTAACATCAATTCATGATTATACAACAGATGAAGAAGAAGATGATAACCATATAAAAAGTAATATTGATTATAATAGTAATACAGATAAAGTAGATTCAATACATAATACAAATCCTGAACTAGACAGTTTTGATGAGTTAGTTGACGAAATAGATAATGCTAAAAAGATAAAAAAATGTCTTCAATTAAATATACACAAACGTCGCAGACGGGGTAGTTTTGATGATCTCAGCGACTATGAAAATTCTGATGAAACAACAAATATAGAAGAACAAGAAAATGAGGAAGACGAGGATATGGATGAACAATTTGAAATTATCTATCACCCTTTTTATCCTAATATGGAAAAATTCATGTCAAATAATAATGAACATCATAATAATACTACAGGGGACGGCACGTTTTCAAAGGAAGAACTTGAACTATATGATTCTGAACAAGGAATAAATTTGGGCAAACTTGAATTTTTTGGTTTAAATAAAATAAATTCAAAAAGAAGCAATAATTACAATTCACACAGAACACAGACTGAAACTAATTCGTCGAACGATAAAACAAATTCAAAAGATTCGCATGAAAATATAAAATCAGAAAAAAGAAAACAAAGAAAATATAAACATATGCAAAAGAATCCCCTTGAAAATTTTTCTATTTCACCAACATATGATGATTTCCTTATAAATCAGAATTTAAAAGACCATGAAATGACACAATTAATGTTACCTGGAGAGCATTTCTTACTCGATTCGAGTTTCCATAGAGTAGTAAAATACACAAATGTTAGATTATATATATTGAAACTTATATATATGAACCTAAAAAACATAGATCCTGCAAACAAAGAATATTTAATAAAAAACAAATTTGAAGTTGAACTTTTTGTTAAAAAAGTATTACGTGAAAACTATATATGTTTTACTCATTTACAAGAAGAACGTTTGTTAAGTGATGTCCATGCTTTCATAAATAAAGCTATAAATAAAATAACTTAATCTAAAATTTTCTCCCCCGTTTTAACCGCATAAATAAAACACAACATTTTCCATCATAAAACGTGGCGTTATTACCAATGTATGCCTTAATTAAATTTTTAAATTCGAACGTGTATCATAGAATAATGTATATATATATATATATATATATATATATATATATATATATATATATATGATATGATATGATAGACACTTTTTTATATGCACATGAGATTTTCCCCACTTTAATAAGTTTAATTATTAGTGAGCACATGTTATTTCATTCTACTGAATTAGATAAACATTGTCAAATTTGTCATTCATTCAAAATCCTTAGATTAAAAAAACTAGCACATAAAATTTTTGTACTTTATAATGAGTTTATTATTATTGCACGATTTTTTTTTTAACCGTGATTAAATTAAAGACAATGTCAAGACATTTTAATATATTTACTCCTCGATTTAGCGGGACATTCAAAATTCCGATTTTTTTATTTATTTTTTCTATTTACCCTTAACATATTATAAAACTATATATACATATTTACATTCAAAAACGCACTTTGTTTATAATGTAACATTTGCATTTAGAAGCATTTATATTGAACACATAAAATGAAAAAACTGATATATGACTAAAAATATAATATACACATGCAATATTCTAAAAATATTGAATTTTTTTTTTATTTTTCCAATGTTTTACATAACATTAGCCACAAGTACACACCCTCTGTGTTTACCTATATAATATATCAAAATTTTATTTTTATTTTCATTTTTTACTTTTTTCATTAATCTATTTATACATTTTTATGCAATATTATACGTATACCGACATTATATATATATCATACCGATTTCATGTACTCAAATTCATTAAGTTTTATATAAGATTTTATATTTTTAATTTTTTTTAGATATATGTTTTTTACTTATTCTAATTATAATACATACTGTTTTATAATTAAAACTCTATTTAAATACTTACATATTATATATATTTTTACATCTACATAAATGTATACATATAAATGCATCCTTACAATAACTATTCAATCTTGACGATCACCCCACCTCTTTTATTATATCACAAAATTCATTATATTTTTTACTATATAATATCTTTTCACAATAACTTATAACATGGTGACCATTTTTATATTTTTGCTTGTACACAAGGTATCAACCCTAAAACGTATGCGACCTGATTAAAAAAAATTGTATTATCTTTTTATGCGGCTCAAAATATCTGAGTACGCCAAAGCATCCCTCATAGATTATCTTAAAAAAAATTATCCATAACATGAATAAAAAAATTGATTATTTTAAAATTGTATATATGAATAAATACAAATTTAGTTATTTCTAACTAATTTATATTTATACTATTTTTATTATTAGTAGTTTTTTTTTCTTGGTAAAATTCTTATATCACTGAGGATAAGCCTCAACAGATCGTAAAACATAGTTTACTTTCATGTTTACAGCACCCCGGGATAATGTAAGTCGTCTACAAACACAGAAAACCTTTTTT